GAAAACAGCCCTCAGTGCTCAGCCCAGGAGGGAGCCGGTGCTGCACCACTGTGAGGATCCCTTCGTGCCTCCTCAAAGCTTGGGTGTGGATTTTAAAGCATTTCACACACCTCTCAGGAGTTCTGAAGCAGGATGCAGGTGGCCACGGCGCTGCCCCGTGCTGGGGGAGCCCCGTGCCCCAGCCAGCAGCACACGGAGCCCGTGGCTCTGAAAGCACAGACGTGGCGTTTCAAAGAAAGATGGTTTGTTTTTCTTGCATCGAATCCTCTCGCTGCTTGCCGAGGGAGGCTTGTCCTCAGAGCAGAGCCAGGGTTTATAAATACCAGCGTGCCCCAGGTCGTGCCTGCTGCCCATCTCACTCTGTCCCTGCCGCCAGGAGCTCTCCCTGCAGCCAGAGGTTTGGCTGGCAGCTGGCAGGACCCAGCTGGAGAGGGAGCAGTGCCTGTTCCTGCTGTGGAGGGGGTGGCTGCATGGCAGGGATCCCAGCGTGGTGACAGGGATCCCAGCAGGGTAGCAGGGATCGCAGGGTGGCAGGGATCACGGCAGGGATCACAGCATGGCAGGGTGGCAGGGATCATGGCAGGATGGCAGGGATCATGGCAGGATGGCAGGGATCATGGCAGGGTGGCAGGGATCCCAGTGTGGCCGTGGGCAGCGCCGCTGTCACAGGAGTTGGTGGCAGTGGGAATGCAGAGGCTGCCGAGCTGCTGCCCTGCTTGGCAGCCTGGGACCCTGCCCATGGCACCAAGGGGCATCCTCAGATGAGTCCTTGCAAAATTGTTCATTGTTCCTGCTGGGAGCATGGCAGTCAGGGAGGGATTTTAGCTGGCAGAGCGCTCAGGCACTGCTCAGCCAAGCACTTTGGGCTGGGTTAGAGGCACCACCCCTGAGCCCGGTGCCAGCCCGGGGCTCGGCGCTGCCATGTGGGAGCAGAGCCCGGCTGTGGGGCGAGGGTGGCTCATGCTCAGCAGAGGCAGGAGGCAGTGGGTGAGCCTTGCCAAGGCCTGGGACACAGCAGTGTCAGCTGTCACCCCTCTGGAGGCAGCAGGCTGGCATTGCCAGCAGGCTGGGACAGGCTCCTGAGGCGCTGCCAGCCCTGCAGGAGCTGCCCTGCCTCTGGGAGCAGCTGCACCCCAGGCACGGGGGCAGGCAGGACTCTGTGCTTGCACACCAAACTGCTTGCTCTGGGGTCGTTGAGCTTCCCAGAGAGCCCAGGACTGGTTGCAGAGTGTCTTGTTGTGCCTTTTGGGCACGATTCCCCTTTTCGTGGATCCTCTGGGAAGTTACTGGTGTGTTCTGGCAAGCACGGGGACCCAGCTGTGCTGGGAGCTGCACAAGCAGCCAGGCCTGCTCAGAGCTCCGGGCAGACAGATTATTATCTTGATTTAACATCTGACAGCTCCCATCCTGCTCGGAGAGGCCAGCCCAGGCTGCCAGCAGAAGCAGTCGGGGGTTGGTCGCAGCATCCTCTGGCTCAGCCCAGATCACCCCGCCTGCTCCCCTTCCTTCTTTCCCATTCCAAACCCCAGCCACTCGACCTTTCCATCGTGAGGATGTGCTGATGGCTCTGACCCACACCAGAGGAGCCTCTAATGGCTCCAGGAGCACAACCAAAGGCAGGAGAGCAGAGCCAAGGGCTGGGAAGAGGAGCCCGTGGCTCCCACTCGTTCTCTCCCCTCCTGGCTCTGCTTTGGGCTCCCTTGGACTCAGCACAAGCAAGCCCTGACCCCAGAATGGCTGCAGTTTGTGCTGTCTGCTGAAATTTATTTGAAATGCCACTCTCCAGGACCATTTCTGAAGCAATTTGCTGTTCAGCCTGGCTGGGAAGAGCCCTGAGCAGGCTCGTTCATTCAGCGCCTGCGATATTGACTCTTCTCTTTACTGCAGGATTAGAGAGCATTTGTCATCTCCAAAATGAATAACTTTTCCTCTCCTGGGAGGGGGGAGAAGCCTTGCCTCAGTACTGACATTTTGCACACCCAGCCCAGAAATCTTCAAATCCCAGATGATGATCTGGGAATTAAACCAGGGGCTTCAGTGTCTCTGTTCCTTGAGCAGAGCAGGGCCCACCCTGCACTAAACCTGAGCTCCAGAGGGAGAGAGGCCTGGGGAGCTCTCACCTGTCCAGGTGCCAGCCCCTGGTTGTGTTCCTGCCACACAACCCAACAGAAACTCGAGTGCCCCGGGGACGAGCCACAGCCTCAGCTCTCAAGACAGAGGAGATGTGTTAAAAAACAAACAAACAAAAAACCAAACCCTGAAAAATCAGAGCAAACCACCCGGCAGCACCAGAATAAGAAGGCAGAAGCTCAGACTTGCCAACTCATTGTCTAGAGCCCGACCAGTTCTCCCTCCTGTCCTGGAGATCACAAACTCACCCTGTTTGTCATCTGAGCTTCCAGAGGTGTTTTCAAGTCTTTCTCAGGAGGTCCAGGAACCAGCAACGCTTTCCCGTGGGAATTTCAGCCTTTGTTAACAGGACTGCCTTCCCAGGAATGAAAGCAAGAGAAACAAACTCCAGCTGTTGCAAGATTTGGAGGAGCAGAGCCACGAGCGTTGCCGGCAGCAACCTTTCCAAGGGGCTGCACCACCAAAACACCAAGCAGGGCATCGGGATCACTGCACTGCTTTGGAAATCCTCTTACCTGGCAAGGAGCTGCTCCTGTGGGATACAGCCAGCCTTCCCTGGGAGCAGCTGCCCGGGCTAGGCACCTGCCTCTCCTCCTGGGATTGGAGAAGCACGAAGCTCGGCCTGGAGTGCAGCAGGAGCTACACCTGAGAGCTGGAGATCCTGGATGCAGGATGAGATCCAGGCTGGATGGGGCTGGAGAAGTGTCCCCTCGCCACAAACCCGAGGATGGTGCTGGCCAGGAGCGCTGGGAAAGGACCTGGAGGCTCTGAAGAGCAGAGTGTTCTCCAGGCTGTAATTAGCCACTGGCTTCCCCCACCCCTGATTATGCAGAGGAGGGAAATGGCAGAACCCACCAGTCTGCCGGGGAGGGAGGAGGCTGCTCCAGTCCTGCCCCTGCCACCCCGGGGTCCCCCTGCCACCCCAGGGTCCCCCTGCCACCCCAGGGTCCCAGCCTTCCCTCTGGGCACTGCCTGGGCTCAGTGCATGGCAAGACCAAGGCACAGTCTGGAAAGGGATTTACTGTGGGTCACGGCTGCTGCAAGATTAATTAATTCATTAACTGGAGTCAGCCCAGAAAAAGGAGGATGTGATGGCGGGAACATCTGGATGCTGCTGGCCCACTGTTCTCCTGAAGGACCATCTGCAGCCTCTGGGGATGTCAGGCCTTTGCAGGAAACCCCAGTGACATTCCAGCTCCTTTGGAGGGCACTTCCAGTGCTGCTTTAGGGACAGTTCTGGCTCCAGCACCCCAGGGCACCAGCTTTGGGCTGCTGTGACTCCCCAGCCTATGCCAGCACTCAGAAACCCCAACCAAGGAGCAGTGGGAGAAGAGGTGGGGTTTTTATTTCCCATGAAGTGCTGCACCTGGCAGTGCAGAGGCTGAAGGGGCGGCCGGTGCCCGTCCCTGTGCCTTGCCAGGAGCCTCTTGTGCCACCAGCCTTCCCAGGCACAGCCTCGCTGGGCTGTGTGACTGCTTTGTTCCATCTTCTGCGATTTTCTTCTTTTTTTTTTTTTTTTTCTTTCTGCACTCAGCAACGGCTGGGAAGAGGCTTTTCATTCCTTTTCTGTTTCTCTGCCCCAGCACAATGAGGGGAATGGCTGCGTGAAGAGCAGCAGTGTTGGATTACAGGGGGTGCGGTGGGATAGCGCGGCTGTGCTGGGAAAGGCAGAGGGGCTCTCCCAGGAGCACAGCTGGGCACTGGGGCCGGGCAGGAGGGATGTGGGTGCAGCCCTGGGGACAAAGAGGGGCTCTCACGGGCAGGGCACTGGGGCCGGGCAGGAGGGATGTGGGTGCAGCCCCGGGACAGGTGAAGGCTCACACCTGCGAGCCTGGGGGGAGCTGGAGCTGCTGCCAGCCCAGCCCCTTCCATTCCCAGCTCCCTGTACAGCAGCAGCTGCTCAGCCGGGTGTGTGTGGGCAGCAGCGTGGCTCTGTCACATGCCTGAGCCAGCAGTCACAGCCGGTGGCATCGCGGCAGCTCCGCTGCACGGGAGGGACGCGGTGCCCGCCCCGCTGTGCCCAGCGCCGGGCACTGTCACCCCCGGGCACAGGGATGTGGGCACAGCAGCCTTATCTCTCACTGCAACAATGAGATTCTCCTCCCAATATTCCCTCCTCCTGGCCGAGAGCTGCTCTGGCTCGGGGGGAGCCGTGTCAGCCATTCCGAGCCCCGGGGATGTCGTGTGTGTGCCTGGGGTGTAACAGGTGGGACAGAGCAGCTGTGGCTGCCCCTGGGTCCCTGGAGGTGTCCAGGGCCAGGCTGGATGGGGTTGGGAGCACCCTGGGATGGGATGGGATGGGATGGGATGGGATGGGATGGGATGGGATGGGATGGGATGGGATGGGATGGGCAGGTGTTTGCTGCTGGCATGGCAGCCTCAGTTTGCAGAGCGAGCCCAGCCTGTCACATGCAAATCCCAGGATAAGTTCCTGCCTGCAAACAGGAACCACTTTATGGAAAGCAGCAGAGCCCTTCCCAAACTGCTCCAGCTCCCCCGGGAGCAGCTGGAGGCTCTGCCTTGCTCAGAGCTGGTTTGGGGTGGCTCTGCTCTCATCCAGCACCGTTTCCCAGGGGATTCACCCCCACTCTGGGGGCCTCTGGGGAAGGAAGGGGATGTTGGGAAGGGGATGTTGGCCCCATCCTCAGCTTTTTGGGAGCACAGTGCTGTGGCTCGGGCATCAGCTCTGCCCCCTCCCTTTCACAGGGACAGGGGGTCCCAGTGGGTGGCTTGGGCACCATCAGAAGGACACAGACCTGCCCCAGCTGTCTGGGCTTGGGCAGATGCTAAAGGAGACATTAGAGTAAATCAATTACTTAAATGACTTTATTTTTTTTTGAGCCATGACTTCTGTGCCAGCCTCAGATTCCTCAGGACTCACCGTGATTCTGAGTGCCGTACTGGCAGGAATTGGTGACATTCTGGTGTTGGCAGCAAGTGCCACCCTGAGTCCTCATCTCCCTGTGGGGAAGCTGTGGTCCTCTCTCCCAGTTCTTGGACACCCCCTAATCAGAGTGCAGCACAGATCTCAGTACAATCCATGCTCTGTTGTCTCCCCAGCCCAGCGTTGGACGCACTCCCTGAGCCGCCCCAGGTGCCGCCCCGTGACTGAGAGCAGGACTCTGTCACCAACTGTAAGTGCCCAAATCCTCTGCGTTGTCAGTAAGAGCTGCTTGAGAGCAGGGATTTCCCCTGCTCAGAGAGCTTCATTCCTCTGGAAAAGCACACTTTTCCTTGCTGCTCCAGCTGGGTGGCTGCAGTGCGGGGAAGCTGAGCACTCGTAACTGCAGCAAAAGCCTTGTTGGGGCAGGAACTTTTGCAGCTTTAGTCCACAGCTTCAGGAGTTGCTCAGATAGTTGCCAGAAGGGAAGAGTCACAGGGGAGGCCACGTTATGCTCATTAAGTTTCTGTACCACAGAGCCAAAAATCCGCTGGCAGCACCACCAGCCACTGCTGGGACCTGCTGGTGCTTCCCAGAGCAGGACATGAGGGCACCCAGCTGAGGGCAGGGGAAGCCACAGCCCTTTAAAGGACCTTCTTAACATAATTAGGAATTCTGGAGGGACAGATCCCTCTCCCCAAGGCCCTGAGCATCCCAAGTCCCCTCAGCTCTGCCAGTGCCACCAGGGTGGGCTCAGAGGTACCTGGGCAGGGACTCCCCAGCCTACACAGACTGGAGCCTTTCCCGTGCCCTTCTCCAAACAGAGAACACACAGACTGGCAAATTATTGCTACTCCAGGGCTCATCCCCTTGCCTGCAGCTTCTCCCTGGCTTTGGAGGTGCCCCAAAGGAGCAGGGGGGTCAAAGCAGGGACCCTCCAGGCCGGTGTGGCTCTTGCAGGCGATCCCAGGCCTCTGCCAAGCATTAGTCAAGCATTGAAGCAGGACAAGAGCCTCCCCTGTCCCAGCCTCTGCTCTTGGGTTTTACTCCCAGCTTCTGACATAACCAGGTCACTCTTTCCACACTTCCCCTGCCTCTGTGAGAGCTGATGACTGATGGGGATGGACGTGACTCACCGCCTTTCCTAATGAGCGACTTTCCTCTGTTTATGTACTTTGGCGGGGCCTTTCCTGCACCTAAAAAGGAGAAGGGTGGCACTGGGGAGAGGGCAGCCTGCTGGAAATTGCTGGCATCTGCTGTTCCTCACCATCCCTTTGAACTGTGGCCAGCTGTGAAGCTGCTGTGTTTAGGCATGGAAAAGGTGTAGCTCATCCTCCACGTGCTGGTCCGGGTGAGATTCTGTCCAGGCCCACAGGTAAACCCTTGGCGAGTAATTTGACTTAATTAGGCTGAAGATTTTTTTTTTGTTACTATCTGTCCAGGCAGTGCCTGGGGGATGGCAGTAATGAGCACTGTGAGCCCAGCCCCACATTCCCCACGGAGCCTTGCCAGGCCAGAGCAGGGTGAGCTGGGCTTTCCTGTTCCCTGGCACAGGTCAGGGCCAGCTCCCCGCTCACGGCCTCCCTTGTGTTTTGCAGTGACTGAGCAGCGGGAGCTCTCGCTGTCCTGCCGCCACCAGGCCAGACAATCCCTCCCTTGGCTGCAGATCCCCTTGGCTCTCTTCCCATAATGGAAGCCTGAGTGCCAGGATCCTCCATGACCTCCAGAAGCCACAACTCCCTGCCGAGAACTCTGATGGCTCCGCGGATGCTCTCGGAAGGCGCCCTGGGGGGCATCGCCCAGATCACGCCCTCGCTGTACCTGAGCCGGGGCAGCGTGGCCTCCAACCGGCACCTGCTGCTGTCGCGGGGCATCACCTGCATCATCAACGCCACCATCGAGATCCCCAACTTCAACTGGCCCCAGTTTGAGTACGTCAAAGTGCCTTTGGCCGACATGCCCAACGCGCCCATCTCGCTGTACTTCGACAGCGTGGCCGACAAGATCCAGAGCGTGGCGCGGAAGCACGGGGCCGCGCTGGTGCACTGCGCCGCCGGCGTCAGCAGGTCGGCCACGCTCTGCATCGCCTTCCTCATGAAGCACCACAAGGTCTCCCTGCTGGAGGCCTACAGCTGGGTGAAGGCGCGGCGCCCCGTGATCCGGCCCAACGTGGGCTTCTGGAGGCAGCTGATAGACTACGAGAGGAAGCTCTTTGGCAAGACCACGGTTAAAATGGTACAGACGCCCTACGGCATCGTCCCGGACGTTTACGAGAGAGAGAGGAGACCCCTGATGCCTTACTGGGGAATTTAATGGGACTGCAGATGGGAAACACGAGTTGACCAGACTGGAGATGTTCCCTTCTCCTTCTACAGCCAACTTTGGTTCTCTACCACACAGCAGAACCTCAATTCTCACCTCACTAACCTGCAAGGCCAACGATTCCCTTCAAAGCATTTTTCTCTACGGGGATTTCCCATCTGCATCTCTGATTTAGTAAAACCGGGTCTCATTATAAGTTTATTCCTTCCATAAAGCCTCCGTATTTTTTCCTTTATTTTTAGTCAGTTTATTAGGATCCTCCAGGGAAGGGCCTAAGAGGCATTGGGCAGAGTGGATGGCCCAAGTACGCTTCCTGCCACAGTAGTAGCCTGGATATTTTGTTATAGCTTGTTTGCTTCCTTGCACAACCCTGTAGTGGCTCAGGAGCAGCACTAGCGAGGCCCTGCTCCACAGCAGCAGGTTTTCCAAGCACCAGGGAGGCAGGAGCACAGGGGCTGTGGTGCTGGTGCTGGTGTTTTCTTTAACATCCGTAGTGACTCTCAGTATATAGTGTTTGAGATCTTTAGTCAGCTCTTAATCGTATTCAAAGTTAGGGGGAAAAAAGGGAAAAAACAAACAAACAAAAAGATTGAATCAGTCCGTGTCGGCCACAAGTAAAATAAAAAATTGAGCAATTCAAATCAAATAAATACAAGATCCTTTTTCACTCATTCCATGCCAGGGCAATAGTCCTGGAATACACTCCAACTACTGGAAAATGCTGGTGTGTTTTGTGGGTGGAAAGTTGACAGATCTTGTCCAGATGTGGCTCAAGGCAGAAGCAGGAGGGATGAAGCTGCTGGGGCAGCCAAAGAGATGCTCAGGAATGTGTGCATGGCCCTGCAGGGCTGGGTGTGTGTGTGCCAGCATCCAGCACCATCCCAGCAGCCAGCCCAGCCCTGCAGAGGGTGAATCCCCCGAGTTCCTCAGCTCCAGCTCCCCTCGGGACCTGCCTTAGCCACTCCTGCCTCTCTCCATTCCGTCCTCAAGGTTATGCTGCATTCCAGGGCTGCTCCTGAGCGTGCCAGGAGTGACTCCAGCCCAGCCCTTCCCTGCAGAAGCCTTGCCGTGGCTCCAGGGGCAGGGGCTGGAGCCCTGGAGTGTGGCTGGAGCCCGGGAGAGCCCCTGGTGCTCCTGAGAAGGCACCAGAGTCTCTGTTGCCTTGGAGGAGGAGCAGGCAGAGCGCTGCGATCGCTGTCTGATTTCAATGAGATTCTATACTTGTAAAAAAAATAAAAATCAATAAAGATTAAACCAGAACATGTGTTGGTTTCCTGTTCCAAACTGTGCTAGTGGAGCTCCACAATTGCCATTAAACAATTGTGGCTGAAGGATGTTTTCTGCTTTTCCCAGCGAGTTTTGCCCCACTGAAATGAAGGTGAGGTTTGCCATCAGCTGCTCCCAGCTCAGGTTCCAGGGCTGGATCCCAGTTCCAGACACAGAGACTCATCTTCCAAATTTATCAGAGTTAAACTTCAGCCAGGGAAATGGTAAGCGAGGAACTAGAGAGTGAAAATCAAGATTAATCACTGGTCTGGAGACGTTCCAACACATGACATTTGAAAGGGGAAAAAAATGCTAAAAACTGAAATCTGCTCACAAAATTAAACTTTACCTAAAAATGGGCAAAGTAGGGTTTAACAGCATTTCTGGTATAAAAAAAATGGAAGGTTAAAATTCTCCACTTTGAATTATTCTGTAGATTTTATGCACACACTGGCTGAGGGGAGAGGGAGATGCTGATGTTCAGCCAAGAAGGCACCAAAGGCTGGCTTTAAACACAAGGGAAAGTTGGACCTATAAAAAGTGAAATTGCCTAATAAAACACCTGAGAAAACAATTCACCTGAAATCCCCATTCAAGGTTATATTACAGTCTTAGTGCTTGTGGGAATTTCATTGCAAAAGCTCCTCTTGTATTCACTACAGCAAAAGATTTCACACAAGTGTTTTCCCCCTCAAAATCCAGGTTTTTCTCCATTCTCAAATCTACAGAAACCAAAGGAAAAAAGCTCTGGTTTAGCTTGGATTGCTCTGAGCACACCCCTTCTCCTGCTCCCCACAGGCTTTTCCAAGGGGTATCTAAATTGTCTGAAAAATATTTTATATCTTTCAGTATTTGGTGAGACACCTTCCCCATCCCAGCCACAGAGCAGGTTTCACTTACATTATGATATAAATATTTCAGCTTCCCAGGCTGGTCAGATATGAAACGAGCTTTTTATTGAACACCAGGTTTGAATCTCAACACAGGATTTATAAATCATTGCAGGAATTAAGGGAGTAAACAAGGTACTAAAGTCAATTAATAACACTTATTCTCACTGGATTTAAAATATCAGCAGCAACTCCAGCACAGCACAAACCCAAACAGCTCCAACTAATAATCACAAAACCACTTCTGGAAGAAAAATAACATTTGCCCAGAGGGCAGGAGAAGAATCACAATAGAAAGAGAACTTTCCTGATTGCTCTCCTTCATAAAATTATGACATTCCTATTTTAACACTGAGAACTGGAATTAAATACAGGTGCAGAATCAAAAGCAAACCCAAAGCAGCAGTTTGTACAATAGCAGCTTTTATTGGAAAGGCAGGTTTTGTTTCAAGTTTATGACTCCCAGTGCAGCTGCCAGGACTCTGAGCAGTCCCTGGGTGTGCAGGAGCTCCTGCTCAGCCTGGGGCTGACCCTCAGCCACTGCAGGGGTCTCAGGGGAGGAGCTGCTGCCACCAGCCCCAGCCAGGAGCAGCCACTGCAGGGAGGAAAGGCCCTGGAAGGGACGGTGAGTGCAGGAGGTGACAGCCCAGGGCTGCAGGGGCTCACAGCCAAACACCAGCAGGGAGAGGCAGGGGAGAGGCTGGAGCAGCCCCCAGCACCAGGGGGGAGCTGCCAGGGCAGGGAGCACCAGGAACTCAAAGGGGTTAAGCCATAAATACATTAAATAACCGAGCAAATAATTCCTCAGAACTGCAAATGTACACACAGAGACAGAAACCCCACTTTGCACAGGTCACGCCAAGGCAGCCCCTTTTATCTATCTAAAAAAAACAAATGCAATCTCATTTCTCTTCTCCAGTGAGAGAATCCATGCAGGAAAAGGAGTTTCAGGTGTGAAATTGGGCACAAGCAGAGGGAAGGCAGCGTGTCCTGCAGCAGAGGCAGCGAGGGAAGGTGGGCTGTGACAATCCTGTCACCTTGGATACAGCTTGGAAGGACACTGGGCTTTGGCTGGCAACAACACCCGAGGATGCTGAATGCTCCAGTGAGTCACTGGGATCTGCAGCTGAGCCTTCTGTGCCTTGCCTCTACCCAGGGAGCTCCGTGCAAACCCTGCCTGTGTGCCCAGGGCTGAAGCTGCTGGGAGCAGCATCCCCGCCCCACGAGGACAGGGGTGGTGTCACCCTTCAGGGAGCTCTGCTGCAGCTGGAACTGTGAATGTCCATCCCCTTTTATGGGCCAAAGGACACGAGAGGGGCTGACCTGGTACCAGGTACAGAAAAACCAGCACGGAAATAAACGCTCCTGTGACAATACAGCTTCACACCATGGCCTCTTATTTGTGCCATTTTCTTTCAATTAAGGGGAAAAAAAATCCTCTCTAGCAAAGTGCTGGGGGGCTGTGGTGGGTGACATAAAATCCCTTTTCCCACCACAGCATTCCCTCAGCACCAGCCTCTCCCAGTGGCTCCCTGTCCCCAAACACTGGTGAGGGGCACAGCAGCCTCACTGTGCTGGACAAGGGCTGTGGGCACCAGCTGTGCTGCTGCAGCTCCTTCCCACCTAATAAATGAAAGGGAGAGAAGCAAGGAGCTGTTTCCCTGCATTTTTGGCAATTGCTGGGCAGGATGTGGGGAAGCAGAGCACGGGAAATCTGCCTCTGGATCAGCTGGAGCTGCAGGCACACGGGGCTTTATTTCATGAATGAGCTAATTTGAGGCAGCAAGGAGATTTATTGTAATTGGTGTAAGGAAGGAGCCAGACACCTCTGAGCCAAGATTCTTTCATTTGGGCTAATTAATAGTTTCGTATAGCTAAGCCTGTTTGTTTTCTAAATACAAAGCATCGTTTTCCTCATTGTAATTTCTGTTTCAGCAAATAACCACAGGTCAGTGTCAGGTACTTGTAATGGGGGCAGGATTAACTTGGAGAGGCTGGAGGAAAGGAACAGATGTGAGAGACTAAGCCAAAGAATTAAGGAGAAAGTTGCACCCTATGGATTTACAGCCCACTTCATTCCCTGCAGCCCTGGACAGGGAGGTGGGACGTCTCTTGTGACACCATGAGGCTCCCCCAGGTTTAAAATCCTGTAACCAGCACTCCATTGCCTGCACTATCCTCTGGATATTGGATCTGAAGGAGGAACCAGGTTCTTTAGATGCACAGGTAACATTCAGTGAGAGTCTGTGACACAAACCTGTCCACAGAGGCACCTACAAAAGCCTCAAAGCAGCAGGGACACAACGCCTGCTTCAAACACAGCTTGCTGAGACCACCAAATGCCAGGGTTAATTCCCTCTGGCTGTTCAGTCCCACTCCCTGCTGCAGGAGCCAGCTGTGAGTCACAGGAACACGCTGCTACAGGTAGCACAGGCTGCAGGATCCACTCAGCCACCCCATCCCATCAGGAACAGCACCTCCACAGCCAAAAAAGGGAAAGAATCTCCAGAGCAGCAGCTGTGCTGCATCAGCAGAGTCCAGCTTCCAGCAGTGCTGCAGCCACACAGCTCCCAAAACATCAGGAGAGACCAAAACCCTGCCTGGAGCTCAGGACAGACCCGGGGAAGTTTCTCTGTATTTACAACAAGGACTGGGAGTTTGAAACTCCAGCTGCCTGCACTACAGAATCCACAGAGCACAGGAAGAATTACAGCAGTTTGCCAGTCCTGCACCAGCCAGGTCTGCATCCAGCACAACTTCCAGCACAGAGCAGTGCAGGCACAAACACCCAGCAGCTTCTCCTCCTGAGTCAATAATTCATTCTGCCTGGATGCTGCTGTGACTCATGTGCTGTGATATCACAGCAGCAAACACTTAAAGAACATCAAGGTCTGTGTCCCAAAAACGTTAAGGAAAAGATTTGCTTGCAAATACAGACTTCAAGTATTTAAGTGGTTGTTTCTATGCAAATGAGCCCAGCACTGCAGGTTCTCTGGGAAGCTCCATGCTGGCCTCTCCCATGCACAGGTTTATGCACATGGTTCCCAGGCTGCTTTTGCACAGGATAACGTTTTCATCTTCAGAAAGACTGAAATGCCACTTTTTTTTTTTTTTTTCGCCATACTATATTATATTATCCAATTACTCCTGAAACCTTGGCCATTACAAGTGAATTCTTCCCCATCTGTAACAGTGGCTTTAATCTGTTGATTTTTGGACCAAAAATCAACCCCAAAGGTTGCAAAGGCTGGTCCCAGGTGCAGCCTCCAGCAGAGCAGTTACCCCAGGTCCTGCAGGATGAGACCAAGGCTCCACCTGCAGTGCAGCTGCTCTCAGAGCAGGTCTGGCAGGATGAGGCCTGGGGGTTTGGGCTCCACACAGTTGATCCAGAAGTTGGCACAGCTGGCGTGGTACTGGTGCCCTCCGTACGCCAGCTTGAAGTTATCTGTCTCTGAATTAAAGGCCTGCAAGAAGAATTGAAACAAGTGTGAGAGTCTGATCCCCTCCAGGGTCCAAACCCAGAGTGGGAAACAGCCCAGGGCTCCCCCCTGAGCTCCACCCCATCAACTCCATTTGATTTCAGTTGCAGGAGGACAAAACCTTCAGCCATCACACCTGAGCCAACCTCCCCGTGCAGGAGGGAGCCCTGGAGCTAACTCACCTTGTTCCTGCATCTTCTGCTTCTGTTCCACCTCCCTACCAAAGGGGAACCTTGCCCTGCTTGCCAAGCAGACAGCTCCTGCATTTATTTCCCTGGCTCCAGCCTGGCTGTGGGTTAGGCAGGTGCAATTCTTGCTATTAGTGTTATTTCAGGTTGAATTTCATCTGCTTCCTCCTGTTAATTGAAGCTGCCTTACAACAGGAGCCTCTGAGCGTGTGAAGCCATGAGCAGGCTGAAACCACCTCACTGTTTGTTGCTAGGAGATATTTTCCAATGCTTCACAGCTCCCTATTTAAAAAAAAAAATATCCCAGCCCTGCTCTCCACACCCTGGATTTCCTGCAGAGATTTCTAAAAATGCCACTGCCTGCTAGACAAAGGCAAAAGTCAATATTCCTAGCACAAAGCCCCCGAAATCCCCCCTCTCTTGCTAGAGACACCCAGGCAGCACAAATTCAGGAAGTCAGGGATTTTCTAGCACACACCAGGAGGAGCACAAGCCCAGAGAGCTGGGCACAAGGCACAGGCATGCAGACACACAGGGGGGAGGCTCTGGGGCATGTTAGTTGATCAGATCGAGAGGTAACGGCCACGAAACACGACTGGAGCAGAGGATTAATGATTGGCACAATTGAAATGACAGCTGAGAGCCCAGCAGCAGCTCAGCCTTCCACACTCAGGAAGAATGAGTCTAGGAAGAATGTTTTTTACAGGTTCATACTTTTTTGGGAAGCTCTTCCACAGGTTTCTCTTCTTTCTGAAATAACGTTGAAACCAAAAAGAGTCAGGAAAAGTGCCTCTGGGTTTAACTGGTTGGCACAGCTCTGCACATGGCCTGGGAGACCCTCCCAGCTCTGCTCCCCTCTGCTGAGCCATCTCATGAAGAAAAGTCATTCAAAGATTTTTATTTGTTAAAAAATACATATCTTTTTTTTAAATCTTAGTATGGCAGTTTCTTGCCCATTACAAACAATTAAACTCAACCCTTTCTCCACAGCTGTATCACACCAGAGCCCAAGGAACTCTGGACATTGCATTACAGGATTTTATTGAGACCCATCTGCAGGTCAGAGTTTACAAATTATAACCAGGACAATTTTTTTCAATGGCCCCATCCCTGGAGGTGCCCAAGGCCGGGCTGGACAGGCTGGGACAGTGGGAGCTGGATGGGCTTTAGGGCCCCTTCCAACCCAAACCAGTCTGGGGTTCTACAAATGGAAGCCCAAGCTGCAAACGCAGATGGAATTTCCAGCCCCACACTCTTACTTTGCTCCTGGAATCCACGTTCAGCAGACACACTCCACAGGCAAGGTCCTGCGCGTTCTTGATCCCCGGGCGCAGCATGCAGGAGGAGAAATCCAGGGAGTTTTCATCTGGCTAAAGAGAGCACACAGGAACTTGGAGGCATTCTCAGTGCCTGGGGAGGTTTCACACATCACAGTGAGCACCAGGAGCCAGGGTGCCACCTGGCATGGCAGGGTGACAGCCATCAGGAGGGAGCTGCCATCCCCACCAGCGCCCGTTTGGGACACTCAAAGTCTTCAAAAAGGCCTCAACTACAAAGGAAGGAATTCCTGAGCTGCACATTGCCCCATCCAAAGGGGAAGGAGTGCTGGGAGCTGGGGGAAGGCAAACAGAGGGTCTGCAGGTGTTTGTGCAGCTGTGGGGAGGTGGCTGCAGCAGGGTTCCTTGGCCTCAGCAAAAAAGGGCACCTGGTTCTCTCTTTCTGGGGTTTTTTTTGAACCTACAATATGGCAGAGCAGCACAAAATGGGATATTAAGGGTAACCAAACATGGAATTCAGGCCACCAGCCACACACATGCTCAGGTTAAAGACAGGCAAAGGGTGGGAGAATAAACCTGTAAATAATAAATGATTGTGGTCACTTTTCCAGTCCTTAACCTCACATTTCAGCCACAGGATAAATGATCAATTAAAACACTGCACAAAGATGATATAAAACTGTTCAAATTTTGCATTGAAGATAGCAAATAAAAACAATGGTTAGAAATGCAAGAAGCTTAAAAATGGTGTGATCCCAGGCCATGTGTGTCCTAATGCCCACTGTGGGTATGCTGCTCACACTGCCCTGCTGAATGGCTGAGAGGAACTGCAATCCTGAGAAAACACCCTTTAATCTCTGAGCAGATCAATCAAATTAATAAAGGCACTCTGATATTTGTTTACCAAATGCATGAGTGAAGCAAATGAGAAGGTCATCCTGCAATTTGCTGTGAAAAACCACAAGGCTGTGCATAAAATTACCTTGTAACAAAATCCGTTAAAAGATAAAATTAACCTTTCCAAGAGCATGCCTGGGAGCTGGAATCCTTCTCTGCAGTTAATTGGCACTGCTGCCTCACTCAGGATCCTGGAACAGCAGAGGTGTGGGCTCCACCCTCCCAGGGAACCCCGCGGGGAGCAGAGGCAGGACTGGGGGGGATTTGGGGAATTAAGGAATCCTGGTTTGAGCTAAGCCCAGCTGGACTCTGTGTGCAGGTGAGAAGTCACTGCCTGCAGCTCCTGCTGTGCTTCAGCTGCAGCCACGAGCCAGGAGCTGCTGTGGCTCAGGGAACACAGGGCCAAGCTCTGGACTTCCAGTAATCCCTGTAATCTTCCAAGGAAAAGCACTTGAGCAAGTGTATTCTAATCCACCTGTTTAAATGAGGACAAGATCCTGGTAGCTCTTGGGATTGTTCCTATCAGCAAAGCCAGAGCTCCAACAGGTGAATCCAGGTCTGTCAGCCTCCTCTGCCAGGCAGGAAAATGCTGAGGAAATAGATTTCCTAGGATGGCAGGCTCTGTGCATCACCAAAATACCTGGGGAGGTTTAAAATGTGCCAAAGGAGTGTAAAAAGGGACTGCTCATTCATAAATACCTGCCTTGCAGGGAATGACAGTGAGCTGGAGATGGGCGTTTCAAGCAGAAACCAAGAATTCCAAGCCTTACCTATAAATGAGTGTTTATTGGGAAGGAGAAACCTTTTGTGGCCACAGCTGCAGTGCAGGGAGGAAGCCACAAATGAAAAAGCTCAGAGGAAAGCTCCCCATGGTAATGATGTGCTCAGTGATGCCTGGTGGGCTGTGCTGGCCCTGAAGGCTCCTTGGATGTGCACTGAGTTAAAGGGATCTGTGTCACTCAATATGAAGCACACAACAATGGGTGATTCCCTAAAATGATGGGGTTTTCCATGGTTAAAGGTTTTCCCATGGTTAAAGGAAGTGATTTTGCACATTGCATCTCCTGCCACACACACCCCACAAGGTGTTTAATGGCAGGGTGGTTTTGCTGCCTTCTCCTTGTGTCTGTCCTGTGCCCCTCTCTCCCCCAGCTCCTCTGCAGACCCTGCCCATGGATGCTCCTGCTCCAGAGGGGCTCCCCTCACACCACCCCTGCCTGTCCCCCTCACCCAGCAATGCCCAAAGCTCCCCAGCCTCCCTGGGAGCATTTCCTGGCAGTGCAGAGCAGGAAAAGCTGAACCAAAGCAAACTCAGGCATTTCCAAATGCAGAGAGAGGGGAAAACAGTTCAGTTGCTCCTGTGTTGCTCCACTGTGTGTTATGGAATTGGGAGCATTAAAGCCAATTGCAGGGATATTAAAAAACAAGAAATGTCCATGTCATTCTGGCTCTGTAAAATGGCTTATCTGGATTTTAGTCAATTTGCCTTACTGGAGATGTCCACAGACACCCAGGATATCACCTAAATCACTGAGGTACCAAATAAGACAACCTCATGTTTGTGCATAAATAACAGTTTTCTTAGAGGGTTTGAAACTGGCTTTCACAAATATAAGTCCATTTCCATTTTCCAAGACAAGAAACACAAACAGTCAACTCAGCACACCCAGCAAAGCTCTTTAAATTAAGCTATGACATTTGTTTTAGCAGCCAGGCAGCTTATTTGGGTCTTACCGTTAGAGCAGCCAGGGACATGAAGCTGATCAGGTTGTTCCACACTTTATCAATATCCTTCAGCAGCTGCTGCAGCTTCTCACTGCACACTGCAGTTGCTTTGATGCCCAGCTCCACCCTCTTTGTGACTCTGTAGACTTCAACAACCCCTGTGGATGCAGAACAGGGCAGGATTGCAGAGAATGCACCGGAGCCCCAGCCCTGAACTCAGAGATGGCAAAACCAGAGGGGCACAGGAGGGGTGGCCATGGAGGGACAGCTCAAAGCTGGAGTTTACATTTATTTGGCTGAAGAGTTCTTCATTATTCATATGCAGGCAAAGATTAGGAGTAAAAATGATGCCACAGGGGGAAGAGTGACTGTACATCCCTGGTTTTTAGGGAAGAACTTTCAGTGTGAAGCACGTGGAAAATGAAAACATACCCTGTAAATATTCCATGCCTTGGGCAGACTGGATGACTTCAGTGCACACAGATGAACTGCTGATTCCATTTAAGGTGTCGTTGGCTTTCTTTATGACCTGGTGGGAATGAATTCCATAAAATGATGGGGTTTCTATCTTTGAATAATCATTACAAACAAGATTACCCCCAGCAGAAGCTGGTCTTCAGAAAAGGAGGCAAATTAAACAAGAAATGACTGCCACACTCCATCACATGTTTTATACACTCCTGCTTAAGTAGATCAGGGGAAAGTGTGAACATTTAAAACCTTAATGTATTCCCCCCAATAGTTTCATCACCAAAATAAGAGTTTTAAGAGCATGCATGCCTTGCTGCTAATTTAATAAGAGCATCCACAGTTTGGGCTCTCTAATACTCAAATGCAAAGGAGAAATGTTCAGGAGCACTGGTCTGGCTGTGAAATATCTCCCAGGAGCACAGGGATGGGCCCTGGGCACAGCAGACCCACAGCTCTGTCCCTCAGGGAGCCCTGAGGAGCCAGGCACTGGTACCAGTGCCCTGAACACACAATACTGGGCACCCAAAACAGGGGAGCACCCCCTAACCAGAGAGCTGGAACACTCAGGGAGAAGCCAAACTAATCCCCAGCCACAGGGGGATTAGTGTGGGGTGCTCAGCTGAGGAGGAGGCAGCTTTTGGTTTAAAACCTGCAGTTCCCAGGGCTGATTCCCACACTTTCTCAAACACTGAGGGAGGCAGGTCCTGAGGGAGGAGCAGGGGATCTGGAGGAGGAGCCACACTCACCTGCAGGGCGCTCTCCAGGCACCTCTGCCACTCGTAGGCATACCTCTCACTCTCCTGGAGCAAAGAGAAGGACAGGCTCAGTCTTGTTCCCACACCCATTTCTCTCCCTCTCTCCTACACAGCAGACAGGTATTTCAAAACACTGTTTGCAGAGCAGCTGTGTGAACTTCTAACAGATCTGTTCCTAATTTCTCCCCATTCTTTCAAGATTCTCCATGCACCTGAACTCTAAAATTTGATTTCTGGGAGTGGGAATGAGTTTCAAAAGGAGAATGTATAGGGTGGGTAAAAGGTTTCATTGCACACAGCTCCTCCTGACACATTTGTTCCAGTCTGCTGTTCTGGCAATGGGGATTAGCAGAATTTAATCTGAGTCCTTTTCCCATCTCTTCTCAGGATGAGCAAGAGAAATAACTGCCACACAGCCAAAAAGCCATGCCATTCCCCAAGCAAACACTCTCTGCCAGAGCTGGGATTAGATTTAAACTGTAACCAATTTCCAGTCATAAGCTTAGGCTGCAAGGTCAAGTGATTTCTGTGTTTCAGACAACATTCTGTGTTCCAGACAACATTCTGTGTTCCAGACAACATTCTGTGTTCCCCATCTCCCTTTAAAGATGTGAGAGAAGAACCCTCCAGGTTCCACTCACAACATCCGACTGCACCCAGACACATCTCACAGTCACACCCATACCCAAACAGGTAAAACCCCAAAAGTGGGATACAGAAGCCCCTCAGGGGTGTCTCAGAGAGCTCCTTACCTCCACCTCCCCCGTGAGGTCCTTGTACTTGTCCCTGATCACGGGCAGGGCTGGCTTCTCGCTCAGCGTGTTGGAGCGGTCCCTGAACGGCTGCTCCAGGGCTGGCAGCGGGGAGCAGCGACTGATTTCTCTGTCCCCCAGGCTCAGGCTCCTCTTGTGAGACCCTAAAAAGTCAGGTTGTGAAAAGTTATTCCTGCACTCTAAAGACCCAGGCTGTTTAAAATGACCGAAGTGGCAGCAAGGGTTGGCCCGTTCCTGCAGAAGAACAAATATTTCTCTTTACTCAGCGACTGCTGCAGATCTCCCCAAGTCCCTCAATTCTTACAGGTTTTTGGCACAACAAATATTTTCCTTGTAGAAAAAGACCTGCTCCAAATGCCACGGAAATCAATGAAAGGATTCAGGTCGTTTCCAGCAGCCTTTGGAACAAGCCCCATTAGCTAATTTATAATTCAATTAGGAAAATCAGCCTTTGATGGGTGAGCACATGCACCATGAGGTTCCTCCACCACGGGCAGGCTTACCTTGCACAGACAGGTCAAAGGTGGCCAGCTCACTCCTGATCATCTCCTCACTGGATTTCACCTTGCCTTGGGAAGTTGCCACCAAGAAGTCGAACTTGCTGATTTTTGGTTTTTCACTCTGGAACTCCCCGAAGTCATCCGTGGCCTCTCTCCGCAGCTCAGAGGAGGCCCCAGCGAGGAAATCAGCGCCCAGGGCCGTGTCAGCTGCTGCTGCATCCTGAGCTTCCGAGGGAATCCTGGCAAAATCCCCAAAGTCCCCGAGGTCGTCGTCGCCGGACACCGGCCCCGAGTCCTTAAAGTTGGCAAAGGGCTCGAAGGAAACGTCCTGCAGAGCATCCTCGCTGGAGAAGGTGGTCACTTTGGAAACTGTCGTCATGGTGATGTTTTCCGAGCTGCCAAAGAAGGTCTCCTTCTTCTGGAGGACGGCGGTGGCGGCGGAGGAGCCGCTGCCCGGGGGCTGGGCGGAGCAGGGCAGCCTCCTGTCCCTGTCCCTGTCCCTGTCCTGCTGGTCCCTGTCGGAGCTCGCCAGGCTGCTGAGCGCAGAGCCACCGGGACAGCTTCCAAACGGGCCGCCCTTAAAGTCATCCACATCTGAAACAAAGCCCCACAATTAGGAGCTGAAGTTCAAACCTTTACACTCTCCACGACCTGCTGAGAGCCCTGGAGGAGCTGCAAGGACAAGCACTGAATTGCTGTCTCGCTGAGGCTTGGAGTGTGCACAAAAATAATCTGGAAAATACCTGAGCATTTCATACTGAAATTTCTCTGTTCAACGAATCTAAGCCTTGACCTTTGAATGCTGTCTTACATTTTAAGCTGAAAGTTACCATACCACTATGGTAGTGAAGAAACACTAAAAAAAATAATGGAGTTTCTGGCCAGTCCAGGCTGCACAGATCACCAGTTGAGTTTTCTGGCTGCAGAATCTACAATCAAAATATAAATGTTACAACTCAAACACCTTTAATGCGTTATTTCATCTTATCAAATCCAACCACACAGAAGACTGGGCTGACTTTTCCATTCCTCTGATAAAGTATTAATACACTTTAATTTTACATTCATGCTTTGATACAAATAACATGTAAAAATGTGCTGCAAGGATCTAAAAAAGCCTAGAAATCCTGTTTGAGCTTATCAGGGCTCCTGCAGTGCTGCACGGCCAACTCGTCAAACTTCCAGGTGCCAGCATTGACAGGGACATGGCAGAGATCATGTTTTAACTGAATAAATAGTTTGTAAAAAGCTAAGTCTAGAGAAAATCCAATTATTTTGCAGAAAGCTCCAAACATTTGTACCCACCTGGTGATTACATGGCCCAATAGGTTCTTCTCCCTGCCAGGGGCAGCTGTGGGATCAGAGAGGGATCTTTCACCCCCAGACTGACTCTGATCCCCAAAGGCACAGGGAGCCAGGGCTGGGCAGTTTGCATTGGAGCACGAGCCCCCTCCCCAGCAACACCAGCCCTCCTACACTACTTTTGGCATTGTTTTCCAGCAGGAACTGTCACTTTGGATTGCTCAGGGTCGGTGGCTGCAGGGACAGCAAAGCCAGAGCACAGAGAGCGTTCCCTGAGCTTGCCTGGGGCTGAGATCCTGGTGCTGACACCAAGGGATGAACAGGCTGGCACACTGGGCTCTGACAGAGCCACGGGGGAGCGAGCTGAACTCCCGGCTGTCCTCCTCCTTCACTGCAGCCTCACCAGCCCGAGGATGAAACCATTCTAACAAACCATTTCTGCCTTGGTTTGCCCATCTCCCTGGAGGGGGAGAGCAGGCCAGGCTCCAGGCTGCTCCCCAGGCATGACCCACATCCATGGCTAATGAAAAACCTGGCCAGCACTCAGCACAGTTCAGTGGCCACTGCCGTGGGTCAGTGAGGCACAGGCAGCCACCATCAGCCCCTCCTGGGGCTGCCACCTCGTCCTGCAGCACTCCAAACCAACCCAGAGCTGAGCCCCTGCACACAGACCACACACATCTCCCGTGCCCCTGGAACTGGGCATGAGCAGGGGGTGAGCAGGGACATGGAAGCACCCGAGTGAAAGGAGCCCAGAGGGGTCGGTGATTTCTCACCACACACCACACCCTGGGCTCTCAAGTTTTTGTTTGAAGAAGGGAAAGGAAAGCTTTGCATGAAAGAGAGAGCCAGAAGCACCTCCAACACGAGAGCCAGCAGTAATTAATGCTGGGATCCTGCAAACCCCACCAGCTTCCCTTGACTTGGTGCTGGCTCCAAAGCCCTGAGCCCTGCCATGGCTCTGGAGAGGGAGGAGAGCTGGTCCCACCCCGAGCATCTGCACGCCCCCATCCCAGCCCATCCCATCCCATCCTGCTGGGAATCGTTCCTTTGATAACTGCTGAGACTCTGAGCTGCAAACACAGCCTGAAGGCCAGGTCAGGGCACTGCTGATCCAAGCCTGGCTCAGGCTCAGGCTCGGGCAGGCTCCAGGGGGAATCCTGAGCTGACCTGCAATCAATAGGGCAGGGGAGGCAGAACAATGCTTTCATTATTCACAAAGCAGGAGTCAGGATTCTCTGCCTGTGAATTCAGGCAGACACAAAGCCTCTGAAGAGGTGCAAGGGCTCAGGTGAAATGTAATGGTTCAGTTCTGTACATTTGATTTTGGTTCTTTTTTTTTTTTGATAATTCCAGAAGGATCATTCCAGTGAATAAACCTTTTTCTAGGAATATTATTTTACTGGGAAAACACTGCATTCAGAGTCAGTGTTAACAGCTCAAGCAGTCCTAAAACAATTTAGTGAGAAGTATGAAAAATAAGAATGTGGAATCCAAAGTCCAAGGTGCCTGATCATCACCTGGGACCAGGTGCACCTGCAGGAGCCAGCCAAGGGAAAGGGCTGGCTGCAAGGAATGCACAGCAGGATGAAATACAGTTCAAAACACTGTTTCCCAGTCTTATCTAAAGAAAAGCTTCCCACCCCTGATTTCAGCCAACTATAATAATTTATTTCAACTACCAAGGATTAAGTTATGGCTGGAGGCAAATTACAAGCTGGAGCCTTCAATGTCAACAGTTTAATCATTTAAGGAAAACCCCTGACAGCATTAGTGACTATCTGAAGCAAACTGAGCCAGACAACTCAGGGACATGGGAATAAATTTAGGGATTTCAGCCAGCATAGGAGACTTTCAGGTTTTTGTATTTCTGTGGGTATTAGAGTCTGATGAATAAACCTAGCTCTGGTGCCACATTTTGGTTCTTAGGGTGACACAGGTGGCAGCTGTGGAGCTCTGCTCCAGCAGAGCAGCATCAGAGCTGTAATATTGGAATATTCCCTGCTCCAGCAGAGCAGCATCAGAGCTGTAACCCTGGAATATTCCCTGCTCCAGCAGCATCAGAGCTGTAACCCTGGAATATCCCCAGTGCTGTCACCCTGGAATATCCCCAGTGCTGTCACCCTGAACATCCCAGTGCTGTCCCCCTGAACATGCCCTGCAGCCAGAGCAGCAGCCCAGGGACAGGCTCCACCTCTGCCTGCTCCCTCAGGAAGGGACAGGAGGCTGCAGAACACCCAGCTTCATGCCCTGCTGCAGAACACACAGCTTCATGCACTGCTGCAGAACACACAGCTTCATGCACTGCTGCCAGCAACCTGGAAAATCCCAAGCCTGTTTCTCAGCTGGAGAAGCCTGGGGCAGTTAACAAAAGGAAATTATTCCCGTTTGCTTTCTCTAAAGAATGGCTGTAGCTAAGGTGGAAACCATCAAGAATGCTGACTGTAAGGTACATGAAAATGAAGGAAACAGCAGAGAAAAGGCACCAAACCTTGTGGAATTGCAGGATTTGCTAATTATTTTGAAGTGATCACGATAAACAACGTTTCACAGCAGAATAAAACCCCAGGGCTGACACTGGGAGCTCAGTCCCACAGAGGCCCTGGGGAAGGCCATGGCAAACACATCCACACCCTCCCTGTCAGAGCCTTCCCAGATAAAGCAGGGAGGATAAGCTCTTCTGTGTGCAGAATTAACCCAAATGGGGCCAAGGGAGTCAACCTGGCTGTCCAGTCTGGACAAAAACATCATAAATACAGGCATGGAGGTTCCTCTGCCTCCTCCAGGAATGACTGGCTGACAAAACACAAACTGCACCAGCCCTGCAGAATTAGGTCTCAGCTTTATGTTCAAAGCTTTGGTTTAAAACCTTTAGGGCTGGGCATGACCTGGGATCTCCAGAATCAAGGAGGGGTGTTATGTTTTTCTCCCTTTTTCCTTTTTTTTTTTCCCTTTTAAAGCCTCTCCAGCTTGGTGTAAAGAAGAAAAGCCACATTCTGCTTTCTGAGCTGGTTTCTGCTCTTGTGGCAACTCCAAAACCCCAAAACAACATTTTAACTATTCCACATCTCAATTATTTTTAGCTTTTTTCCTTGTCTGCTAATTTGATGCTAATCCCAAGCTGTCAATGGCTCAGGAGCTGGAGGAATGTGAAGTGACATAATTGCATGCCAAAAATTTGCAGCTGTCATTCACGTTTGAAAGTTTCAACATCTAAAAGGTAGAACTTCCCAAATGGAAAATTTACTTTGGGGTTCTGTTTAATTCACACTGGATTAGGTAAATAAATATCAGAATATTATTGAGTGGGCTTCTACTCATAAAAGTCTAGACAGCAACACAGTTTCAGTGCCAACTCACAGAAACAACCCTGCCACCACACATTTCCTCCACTCCATCCCCCTCAAACACAGATCTTTGGAAAAATATTATTGAGGTTGATATGTAAAGACTCAGGAGGTCACAGGGAGCGAGCTCAAAGCGCTGGAAGAGGAGAAGGAAGCTCACCCACACCCTGCTCTGCAAGAGAAAGGCTCCCACCAGCTTAAGGGGATACCAGAACCTTAAACTCTGTATTTTTGAGGAAGCAGAGATACATTGCTAGTTTGCAACAAATCACACACACCCCCACGTTTTCAAAATATGCCAAGATAATATTTATTAACACAGCAGGACTTACAGATCACAAAAGATAGTGATACAGAGGAGCTCGGGAGGGCGGAATCAGAGAAAAGCATGCAGGTCAATACTTGCAGAAGAGAGATATCAAAGCAGATCTGAAAAGGCACATTCACACAGGAAATGTTTAGTTGAAATCAGACATTAGAAAAAGCAGCAAAAAAAACCCTGAAGTTGATTAAAATATACAGAGACTCTCCAGTAATGCCAAAGAAAAAGGTACTTTACAGGTGTGTCAGTGCAGCAGATAACCCTTTGAGGGTGCCTGGGGCAGGGCTCCTCTGGCTGCAACCTTTGGCAGGAAGAACAAATCAGGCTCACCCAACAGGAGCAGGTGCCCATTCAAACGCTCTCAGCTCAGAGTGAAAGGGAAATTTGGTGTAAAAGAAGCAGCCTGGTTCAAACTAACAGCATGCAGCCAGTGCTCAAAGGGTTATAGCAGCAAATGCAGGAGGAATCAGGCAACATTAGTATCATCTACCTTCCACACAGAGAGTTAGGAGCCGAGTTTGAAGAGACTGTATCCCCTCTGGAGAGAGAAAATGTGGAAACCTTTCATCCCTCAAGAGAGCACAGGGCCCTGGCATGGGAAGCAAGGCAAGGATTTCTCCCTAATTCCCAGCATAAGCACCTACCTGCCCATAGCTGGAAGCTACAAATGTCAAAGCTCAGAGCCCAGGGACAAACAGCTCTGTGTGGGCAGCATCTCTCTGCACCTCTGTCCTGCTGCTGCTGCTGCCCTGGAGATGTGACACAGGGCTTGCACAGGGGCAGCTCCCCAGGACACTCTCCCATTCCCCAGCAGGGAGGTGACAAAGGGATCCCGGCCCTTTCTGCTATTACATTTACAGATCGAAGGAAACGGTGAGGAAAAGAGAAAAAAACCTTGCTTTTTAACTTCATGTAAACTGAGAAAAAGGAAAAAAAATAGAGGACTTGACCGTCAGCAGTTCACAGCTTGAAATGCATCAAACACACAGAAAGGAACACGTGAGCACAGGAGTGTTTGTAGCAGAGTGTCCAGAGCACGTCCTGCTACCAAATCCAAACACTGAAATGGAGCTAAACTCTCCCTTTTAGAGTAACATCTAACTTGGCACCATAGGAGAATACAGACTTGTTTAAGTTTAATAAAAATAGCTTCTAATTAATACTTCAGAGTTCAAAAGTTTAGCAACAAGCACATGAAGGGCTAACCCCTTTAAACAAACCAAAAAGAAAGAGGCTTTCCTGCCACAAACAGCAATTATTCACCACGGGTTGCTGTGGCAAAATCACACGTCCTGTAAAGAGCTACAGAAGTCAAACTACCACCAAAAGAGGCTAGAAAAATATTAGGAAAAAGTGCTTTCAAACCCAAAGTAAACATTCAAGGATACACTGTTGGTGCTACGTTTTGACAGCTCACTCAACTTGGAGTCTTCCCAAGCAGTAATATGAAAATTAAATGTCTTTGCTAATAAATTATTCCTGATATTTTGTACCCTGTTAGAGAGTATCTTCCACATCGAAGTTGCCGACTTAATTCTCTCCCCTACTTAAAAATATCATATAATGCAAAATTACAGTACTGTATATCTTTTCTCTACCCATATCTGCACAAATGGAACAAATATTTCATGTGGAAATAACCAATTCTTGCAGTAAGAGCTTTTACATTTACAGTTTGTATGTTCCCCCTGTTCAGAAAAGCCTTTGACTGCATAAAACTTGTCCTAGAACACAGTAATGTTCCCGTGTTGTTGAAGGCCACAGAACATTTAACTACAGCTTATCTCCTATGTATATATGAAAAGAAAAAGCAGGACACTTGGGAAATTTGTTTTATGATATGTGATCAGGTCAGAGATGGTCAGCTCACTCCCTCAGGAATGTTGTCATAAAGGGAAATTAAAGAAGGTGGAAACCTGATAAAGTGAAAGTCTCATGGTTTAAATTTAGGTCCAAGAGCTCCCAATCATGAGACCAGCACTTGCAGCCCCTTGGCACAATGATTTCCACGAGGGATTTAACACTGGAAGGTGTGTGAAATACTCTAAACTGCAGTCCTGCAAAATCCTGCCTACCCAGACTGAGCCCCACTGTAAGGGGAATACGCTGCTGTTGGTGATTAGTCAGCTTCTCATTAACAGCCCCAATTAGTGACCCTTGGGAAGCGCCCCGTGGGGAAGTCCCCAAGCCAAATGCTTTGTGGAAAACAAGAGATTAAAGTGAGACTCTGCCATCATCTTGCTGACATAAATGGAACGACACTGTTTGCACTGGAATATTTTCCACTCGAGTCCCTTAAGTGCCAATGGCGAACAGGTACCAGAATGATGATGTTAAATCTCAAAAATAACCTGGCCTGGAGTTCAAACTGTTCCAGCTAGTTATATTTATAGTCTTCTAAGACAAAAACTAAAGAGTGCCCTACTGAGGGGCCGTGGCTGGCGGGGACACACACTGAGGAGTCTTCCACTACTGAAAGACGAGTGCATAATACTGTAATTGAGCACAGAGAACACGGAATCTGCACCACCTACGTTACCAGAGCAATCTAACCAGTTCCTCACCTGCTGCTGGTGGATGCTGGCCACTAACTGTTGGCAAATCCAAAGAGCTATCAGACATGACATGCTTAAGATCTCCTCCCACATCAGCCAGTTTCATGTCAAACTGAACAGACAGCGCGTCTTCGGAGTCCTCCTTGCCCACGCTGCTGCCGCCGATGGAGGGCAGGTCCAGGGATTTCACTGAAGCAGAGTCTTCTTTGGCCTGCTTGAAAGCTGCCACTTTGTCCACCAGCGACTTCTCGGCGCCGCTGGAAGAAAACTTGGAGTGGAAGTCAGCAAAGTCATCGTCGCTCTTGGCCGAGGAGAGCGCGCTGTCCTTGGCCTCCTCGAAGGCCGCCCCGGAGCCCTCCAGGGACAGCTGCTTGAAGATGTCGTACTTGGTGGGCGTAGCAGTGGTGGCAGAGCTCTGCCCACCCTTCACTGTGCTGCCTGAGGAGCCAGCCTGAGCACCAGGGCTGGCCTCCAGCTTGAGCGCATTGTATTTGTCCTCGGGTTTTTGTTCGGAAAAGCCCCCGCTGTTGTTGAAAGCCATAAAATCTGCAAAGTCATCTTGTCCACTGGCTGATGCGCCGTTAGAAAATTCCCCAAAGAGGTTGAACTCTCCAAAGTCATCAGCTAAGCTTGAAGTTTTGCTGGGTGCTGGCTGGGCAGAGGCTGATGGAAGGGGTGGAGGGGGAAAGGAGCCCGGCTTTGAGGTGTTGAATGCAGGTGGGAAGGGTGGCTGCTTGTTTTCTCCAGGAGAGGAAAAGAGCTCTAAGTCTGCCAGATTCAAAGGGGTCTTGGCTTGTGTTGGCTGTTTTGGCTGAGCAGGCAGAGGAGGGAAGGGTGCAGGGAAGGTTTTGTCCTTTGAGGGTGGCTCTAACGGGGAGATGCTGTCAGCGGTTTTGAAATCTGTGAAGCCATCGTCGGCTCCTGTGGGCTTGAACTCTGCAAGGTTCTCTCCTGGGAATGAAAACAGGGAGAAAACAACAATTAAACCCTGCACAACAAACACAGCACACTCACACCATGCAAGCAAGCAAATTACTCCATGCAGTGCCAGAAGGTTTTAGGCAAACTGTTTAAATGGAAGACGTCGGGGCGCACACGGAACTGCAAACTCAACCTGCATGAGCCACACAAGTGTCAAGGGCACTGATTCTGCTCTTCACTCCAGCAAACACCTAATTCTCTCAAATAGCCCCAAAATCATATTAAACTCCCTTTACACCGAGCTAATATCAAAACACACCATGACAAATGGATTCAAAAGGAGATCAATACTGCCTTATTTGGCTTCCATGCAAGTTGTTCTCCCCACCTCATCCTCTTCATGTTTGCCAAACAATGAATGTAATTTTGAATTTCACTTATACCAATACAGTATTTGCTTTTTATGGAAGCAATTCTTCCCTTCCTCCCTCTGAAATACTGCAGCTTTTTCAGGGGGGACCACCAGATGGCTGAGACAAAACCAACATGAGGTAAGAATGTTTTCACTGAATTTACATTCAATATTTTGGTCTGCTAATTTTATAACTTTTTTCTTTTGAACATGAAAACATTGTTTAACCCATTCACCAGCATGTACATACTTGTAATTTAAAGTATTGATGCTTACTTTAAGACAAGTGTCCAATAAATAGATTTTTTCTCTTTTAGAAACACACCACTAGCATTTCATTACTAAGCTACCTCAGTGTCACATTTTAAATCAGTTTATACAAGATTTAAAAGAATACTCTTCGTAACAGCGGTAAAGGACCACAATTACACCTGACCTTTTATTCCATTCTCCCTCCCCTCCAAACCAATTCATTTCACTCAGCAATAATATAAATATTCCTGAAATTGCTACTCATTGATCAAAACTGCAACAGCACAGCAAACTAAACTTACTGAAGAATTGCAAACTTTTCCATTAGAAATGGAAGCTGGTGAAAGGGTTAAGAGTGGTCAGACTTTGACAGCAGGCAAATACAGCAACTTTCTATATTTTAGAACAGGTACAGAAAGAGATCAAATGTTATTTCATTTTACTGCAAGCATTTAATCCTGAAGAGGTTCCAAGCATGAGAAGCTCACAAAACACCACAGGGGTTTTATAAATGAATGACTCCTTACTTAAAACAAATTCCAACCACATCATTACTTTAAAATAAAACTCAGGAGCACCCAGAAGAGATGCCAACCTTCCAGAAATACCATCAGCACATTGTTCCAACAGGATATTGCCCTGTTTTCACAAGATACTTCCTACCAAGTTTTTTAGAGAAGCAGCAGCACCATTATTTTAGAATTGCAGAGACGGAAATTCTGCAGCTCAAAGAGAAATGCTACAAATGATAATGAAAACCCAATAAAGCCCCAGTGCTTACCCAAGTATTTGCTTTCTGCTGGTTGCTCTAATTCCCGGAAAGCGCTGTACTTGTCCCCTCCATCTAGAGAAGAAATACATTTACACAGAGAAATTAGGAATTCATACAGCAAAATTAGGAATTCATACAGCAAACGTTACATTAATTGCTCTGATTTTTAAAGATGAATATCTTATCAATGCCAAAAAGAAGATATACGAAATTGTACAATAAATTGCTCATAGTGGTTGTGTATTTGTCCTTTTACCTCCAAAAGCAGCTGCACTCTCAGAAGGCTTCTCAGCTGCCATTCCTTTAAACACAGCATATTTGTCAGCTGGTGAAAGTGGCTTAGTACCTGGGAGTGGCATTAGTAAAGAAGGAACACTAAAAACAAAAGAGATAAAAGCAAAGTTCCTTAATTGATCCGTAAGAAATCTGCATTTCCAGGTTTTATATAAAGGAGCCTCTTGTTATGCCTACACAATTTGGTTCCTAAACCTAAGCTTATGCCTTAATGAGTGTTTAATCCAGGCCCTGATGTAAGTGACCTCAGCTGGGTAAATTCCCACTTTATCTCACCTAATCATATTTCTTTGGTTCAAAGTCAACTTGCAGCATTCTTGATTTTAATTTCTATCAAAACCCATCAACAAAACACTCCAGAACTTTATACCAAGGAATTTGTAGCCCAGGAGAGAGCAAGCACACAGACACACCCCAGGAATCACTCCTGCTTAATTTATCCCTATGAAAATTCCCCCTGATAGAACCAGATACAGTAAAGAGTTAAAACTGCATGAGATTTTAACAGCTCCATACTTTCAGCTTATCTAATTCTGATCATATCTCATTACATATTGTAAAATTAGGATAATAAAGTGGGATCACGGTTCAAAGGAAGGAAAAGAATAACTCTGAATTTCTGTCAGTGCCAATCAGCGCGTTTAGGCAGGTATCTAGTCAGCAAAATAAGGATTACTGCACAGTTACACAAGCCAGTCTTTTTGCATAAACACACTCTATTTTATCCAGTAAAACTGCCACAACAATCTAACACCTTGTTAGCAAACGCTGGAAGATTTAGGAGAGAGCTTTGCCTGCCCTCCACACCAGCCCCGTTATCAGACCTTGGCAGCTCCACACAACACCATCCTTTACATATGAATGATGCATTCTACCTCCAGTTTGTGTCACTCACACTGAAAACCTGAATGAATTTCTATTGCATTCTTCAGCCTGGAGCAAGAATCTTTCCAGAGCCATTTAAATCTCCTTATCAGCAGCCTACAAGCAACACACAAACGAAGCACTTGCACACATGTGCTGATGCTGGTCTGTGGTGCTTGCAGGCAGACAGTGCAACGGCAAAAAAAATAGAGCTTATGGTAATATAATTAAATTTCCCATCCCTGCAAAGCAGGCTATTAGATATGCAATCTTGGCAAATGGAATGGTTAATCAGCTGTACTCCACAGATGGCTTTTTTTTTAAATAAAGCTCCATAAGCAATTAGATTATAGCTCATTGTAACATTTTGTTCAAAACTGAACGCTTTCACAACTGAATAAAGAGAACTGCTGCAGTGAAAAAGGAACACCATTTTCTGAAATATTTCTTTATGATCCTCTACTTCCCATTGTGCAATTAACAGACAGTTTTCTGTCAAAACTTTCAGTAACAGATCAGCTTCAGCTGCAAAATGACATCTAACACAAGATACACTTTAATCAGCATCTTCAGACCCATGTGGCATTGACTGACATCCCTGGGAGTGTCCAAGGCCAGGCTGGACAGGGTTTGGAGCAATCTGGTCTAATGGAAGGTGTCTCTGGCCCATGGTGGGGGGTGGAACTGATTATCTTTAATGTCCTTTCCAAACCAAAACATTCTGGGCTTATATTTGAAATTATATAAAATATAAAATTATATTTCTTACGCAGAAGCCATTTGCCATAGCATAAGAGAACAATTGGGTTAAGCATCCCCCTTTGATGTCACTGCTGAGGAAGCACCTGGTAATCAGGGCTCACATGGAATTCAGAGCTCTGTTTGCCACTAAGAACAGCCAGTTCCTACCCAGAAAATGTGTCTGTCTACAATCAGACACCTGGGAGGTGCATAAAGAGGAAAGAAGGCTGAAATTTTGTAGTCTTTGTAGACCTTGAAAGGTCGATTGTAAAGTATCAAAGGGAGGAAACATGTTTATTTATTTTGTTATACAAAACCTGCCTGATCAGGAATTATATCCTGCCTCCCAAAGAAAAAGCCAGGATTGCTGGAGTCTGAATGATGCTTCAATTGAGATTTATAGGCAGGTATCAAAAGTTCAGGCACTGGCCAGAGAAATGACAGAAACACCAAGGACCTGATACCTGCTCCGGTGCTGTGAGCTGGCTGCTTTGGCTGCCTCCCCCTGGAAATCAGTGAAGGAGTCATCCAGGGAGCCAGACTTGGAGGCATCCTGAAACTCCTGGAAGTCATCATCTTCTGGTTTTACTACCTGAGTTACAAACAACACATGAATTGCTATGCTGCTGGCTCTTCAAACTGTCATACAGCAAGAAAGCAGCTTGAAGCAGTGTGATTAAGAGGGAAAAAAAGAAGGAAAAGAACCTTTCAACACTAGCATCATCAGCATTTCCACTTTGTCTGCACCTCACCCTACTCAAACACACACAGGATTACAGGGAGCAAGAATGAATAACAGTTCATTATTTCACAATAAATGTCTTATTGATCGTAGCCATGTCATCTTTTAATACAGGACAAATATTAATAATTTAAATCAACGAATAATTTAAAATTAATAGCACCACAAAAAATATTTTATGAAGGATGAAGCATGTCTGCAAACAGCAAATTTATCCCCCACATTATTTACCTTTGTAAACTGAAGGTTTTCAGTGTTCTCAGCTGCTCCTGAAACTCCTATTCTACCAGCTATTAGAGTCTGCTGTGCAGTTTAACCTAAAATTCCATTTTATGTGCATTACAAAATCCTAACTACAACTAAAATCCTCTTTGAAATACAGAACACTTTTGTACCTCTTCTAATGCCACCAGAAAGAACTGCAAAAATAAAAGAACGCCCTTAGCGGCACTTCACATTTTCAGACGTCACATGCTGGATTTCAGTTCTGGGGTTTCTTTTTGCCATTTACTTAAGACCTGCTCTCACCATGTAAGTTTGGAAGTGCCAGGCTAATCTCCCTTGCAGTGAAGGGGTTTGCAGGCAGGGAGGAGCTCACCTGGCCGGGCGGGTAGGAGGGCAGGAAGGCTCCGGAGGGCGGTGCGGGAGCTGCTCCCGCCGGAGCCGGGGCTGGAGCTGGGGCTGGAGCCGGAGCTGGAGCCGGGGCCGGGGCAGGGGCAGGGCCGGGGATGCCCATGCCCATGACGGAGGGGCCCATGCCCAGCCCCACGGAGGCCGGCGCAGCCGCGGGCAGCAGCGGGGCCTGGCTCACCCCGGCGGGCAGCGGCACCGGGAAGCCGGACAGGGTGGGGACGGGCGCGGCTGGGAACTGGTTCAGCACGTCAGGGCTCACGGCAGGGATCCCTCTCTGCAGAGACAACAAGCACAGGGATTCAGGTGCGGGGCTGAACAAAGGGTGCAGTGTGCTCTCAGCTCCAGTCTGCGGCTCCTGGGGCTGAAGCCAACAACGAGCGGGGTACTGGTAAACCTCCCACATCTAAACGTGCCATCAAGGTCCATCTAAGTGAATTATATTCAACACAGAATTGCTGAGGCAGGAAAAGGCCTCCAAGGGCACTGAGCTAATCCTTTGAGCCGCCCTGTCACCCAGCCCAGAGCACTGTCCTGCCTTGGACACCTCCAGGGATGGGGACTCCACCACCTCCCTGGGCAGCCCCTTCCAGTGCTTAGTAACAATTACCATTACCCTTTCCATGAATAAATTCTTCCTCATGTTCCAGCTGAAACTCCCCTGGCACAGCTAGAGGCCATATTAAAAATATATATACATGAGTTTTGTTAACTATGTCTAAGAACTTCAACTGACACTAAAGGAAAGAGTAACAGAAATATAAGCGATGAAACTGATAAGATTATAACCCCACTGAAGTGACAAGGGCAGTTTCCCTGCTGCACTTGAACAGAAGCAGTGTTTGACAGGAGCTGTGCAGTGCCTGGCACTGAGCCTGGGGTGTCACAGGAGCTGTGCAGGGCCAGGCACTCAGAATGGGGTCTCACAGGAGCTGTGCAGTGCCTGGCACTCAGCCTGGGGTGTCACAGGAGCTGTGCAGTGCCTGGCACTGAGCCTGGGGTCTCACAGGAGCTGTGCAGTGCCTGGCACTCAGCCTGGGGTGTCACAGGAGCTGTGCAGTGCCTGGCACTGAGCCTGGGGTCTCACAGGAGCTGTGCAGTGCCTGGCACTCAGCCTGGGGTGTCACAGGAGCTGTGCAGTGCCTGGCACTCAGCCTGGGGTGTCACAGGAGCTGTGCAGTGCCTGGCACTGAGCCTGGGGTCTCACAGGAGCTGTGCAGTGCCTGGCACTCAGCCTGGGGTTTCACAGGAGCTGTGCAGTGCCTGGCACTGAGCCTGGGGTCTCACAGGAGCTGTGCAGTGCCTGGCACTCAGCCTGGGGTCTCACAGGAGCTGTGCAGTGCCTGGCACTCAGGATGGGGTCTCACAGGAGCTGTGCAGTGCCTGGCACTCAGGATGGGGTCTCACAGGAGCTGTGCAGTGCCTGGCACTCAGGATGGGGTCTCACAGGAGCTGTGCAGTGCCTGGCACTGAGCCTGGGGTTTCACAGGAGCTGTGCAGTGCCTGGCACTCAGGATGGGGTCTCACAGGAGCTGTGCAGTGCCCGGCACTGAGCCTGGGGTGTCACAGGAGCTGTGCAGTGCCTGGCACTCAGCCTGGGGTCTCACAGGAGCTGTGCAGTGCCTGGCACTCAGGATGGGGTCTCACAGGAGCTGTGCAGTGCCTGGCACTCAGGATGGGGTCTCACAGGAGCTGTGCAGTGCCTGGCACTCAGGATGGGGTTCCACAGGAGTTGTGCAGTGCCTGGCACTCAGCCTGGGGTCTCACAGGAGCTGTGCAGTGCCAGGCACTCAGGATGGGGTCTCACAGGAGCTGTGCAGTGCCAGGCACTGAGCCTGGGGTTCCACAGGAGCCGTGCAGTGCCTGGCCCTCAGCTCAGGGGCTGCCAGGTGAGAGCATACCTGGGTCACTGCAATCATGGCCAGCACACAGTAGAGCTCCTCCTTGGTGAGCTTCCCGGGCGTGGTGCGGTTGGCCAAGGCCCAGATCTGCCCCAGGGTCTCCCTGGGCAGTCCTGAGGACATCAGGATGGGGTAGAGCTTGGCTGTGTCAATCCCAGCAGGAGTCAGAGTGGTTTCTAAGATTTTCTTATACAGCTCTGTTGAGAGGGAGGCAGTGTTAGACAGTGACAACTGCTCTTTTCAAACATTATTGCTTTTTTATGTTGTCTCAAACTCATGATAGCAAATCAGTGTAAGGTAAGGCAAGAGCATTCTGGCACTGTATTCTATCACCATGTTTCATCTAAATGTGTTATTGGATGGTCTTTCCAGACAAGTTTAACTCAAGCAGAGAAATATTTTATATCAAATACACTTAGTGCTGCATTTCAAACCACATTTCTTTAACGAAATTGCAGGATAACCCACTATTAAAAAGATAGTTCTAAGAGCCCTATGTACTTAAACCTCAGTGGAATCAATATTTACTACAGCAATTCATTTCCTATTCACTCTGTTATTTACACATAGAAGACAAACAGCCTTCAGAAATGAGCCTGCCATTTACAAGACATGCCAAAAACCAGAATACCCATGAAAGCAGCATTATCAGCAATGCATCCTCTGCTGGAATAAGCTGCTGCCATAAATGTTTAATCTAGAATTTGTGAACATGCTCAAATAAAACCCCTGTTTCTTCAAATGCAGATAAGACACCATAAATATGTAACATATCAAAGATCCAGGAATCTTTTGATGAGGGGATAAAGCTTTGATCAGTAAGTGGCCATGCAAGCACAGGTACACCCACACCTTGCACTGCCCACCTGGCCAAATGCCCCCTGGTTGCTTTACCTGGGACCAAGCTGTCGTTGTAAATCCAGGGAGGCATAATTTGCTGGATGGGGTCCTGGGGAGGGAACACTCCAACTCCTAAAGTATTCCATTCAGTAAGAAAAACAGTTGTGTTAGGACACAGTGATCTTAAAAGGCTACACCACAGCTGGTCAGCATCAGTCAGCATTTCAGGCAAAGATTTCAGATAGGAATCACTGTGCTCAGAGGAAAAACAGAGATACTGCAGGAATATGAAACAATAACTAGAATGATGTGGCAGTAATAGATTATAGTTATATATGTAATGAAATAAGGAGCTCCTCACGTGCCTCCCTCTTAAAGTGCAGATGTACAGAACCTAAAGTCTCACTGTCTTCAAGTTTCACGGCAGTTCTGTCAGAACAAATTCAGCTTCCCATCAGCTCCCTGCTATTAGGGCTATTTGTGGAATAAATAAATCCATACCTACCATAAACCCCATAATGTTCCCCCAGAACATCCTCCCCTGGGAGATGCACAAACAGCCCAGGGACTGAACCTCAGCAAGGTTCATATCCCACATCCACAAACCTGTATCCACTGCTCCCAGTCTGCAGCTCCAGGGACACCACAGCCAACTTCACTCCTACAGCCTTTTGTACCATGATCTGCCACATTTCACTCCCTGAAAATCGGTTATTTCCTTCTCCACTACGGGGACTCTTCCCCTCAGTCTCCCTCAGCAGATTTTATGCTCATCTTGGATGGAGCTAGCTCTGACCAAAATCAGCACCATTTCAGATTTCATTGTCTTTCCCAGTACCCTTGCATCTCCTCATCTTCCACATGGATTCCCTCTTGACTGCAGTCTAATTTCTAATTATCCCACAACCCCAAGCACGTTCTAGTATAAGCAATTCCTTCCATTTCACCAACCAAGTAAAATAAATTTGCCACTTCCTCAGATCTCATTATTCTTTGGTTTTAACCCCCCTTCCATACTGAGTCAACAGTTTCAACAAAATCCAAACTGGAACAAAGCCTTGTTTTAAGTTTTCCTCTAGACCATCTTTTGAATATTCAGGCAGTTTTAGACATAATGTGTATGAGCAGCAAATACTTGGGAAACAAGTAGTAACTAGCTAAGAGTTTTAACCTGGCAAGATTTTGTCCCCTCAAGGTTAAAAGATTAAAACCCACCATGACATTGACCATCTTTAGTGGTAAGTTTCCCTAAATAGTTTTTTTTTAAATATCTTCAGACAGCACAGCTTCTTTTTCCCCAAGACAGGATAGAATATTTTAAAACAGCGAACCTGATTAAACAAACATGTTAAAGGTGATTACAACAATAAACTCACATGGAGAAAGTTCAGAGCAAAATCATGGCAGTTACACTTTGAGCAAGGAGCAGGAGGCACTGACATATTATTCAAGCAGGCATTCAGAGCAAAATTACGCAGGGTTGGCCTTGGAATTAGTGAACAGAGCGTTAGCACCAAGCAGCATCTCATTAGATTGAAATTCTGTCAAACGTTTGGATTGCTCACCACACTCTTCAACTGCTCTGTTTTGTTCTGAAGCCTTGTGCACCTCTGCAGCAGCAGTGGGACCACTTTCATGTCCACCTACAACATCCCAGTCACTGCTGGTGAGACTGGGATGGGCTTGGCTTGCAGCCGAGGCTTTGTGCCCAACTTCGGACGTTTTAAGTTTGGTTTGCTCTTGTTCAGATTCATCTGAGCCATTAGCTAAGGCTTTCTCCTCCAAGGAAGAGCCTGAATAAACAGCAGGAGGAATTATTTATACTTTGTTATGAACTGCCCAGGCTGCACTTCCACACTTTTGGTACCACTGATGGTTTAGAGATGATCAGCCCCAGCTCAGACCAACAGCACCACCCTCTCTGGACACTTTCAGAGCCTGGTTCTGCCCTTTACTTACCACAAACACAACAAACTCAACAAGCAAAAAAACGAGAGGAGGAAGACACAAAGCTATTTCCTGTATTAGGATTATTGTTGTGTAATCATCCAGGCATCAGGAGCAGAAGTGCCCAGTATCTACTTACATCTCCAAAATTCATGTTCATCTCACCAACATCCCTTCAGCCTCCAAGGGAGGAAGCACACAAGTGCTCCACAGCAGCACAATCATTATTTCATATACTACCATCTCAACTGTGTCTTTTTCTACCCTTCAGATTTAGGATGATGCTAAAACACAAGATTTAGTTCACCTAAGATCAGGCATGTGTGTATTTAGCAGTATTTGGATCCACACAACTTGCTTTTACAGGCAGTTCTAAGGGAAGCAAGAACGAGACTTAAATCATCTTTTCCCATGGATCAGCAGGTTTCTGCTTAATTGCCTAAATTATTTTTTCCAGCCAGACTGAAAAAAAAAAAAAACCCAACAAATTAAGTAAAGACTTTGTGTAGCTCAGAGGGTGACATGTAAAAGAAGATACTTTAGAGTTACCTGTTTTATGGGTATTGGATGGAGATGCAGAGGTAGGAAAATAAGGAACCTGCCCAGCTGTACCATGCAGGGTGGATAGCACTGGAGCCTGGGCTGGAGGGACAGGTTGGAGCACAGCCCTCTCTGAAAGCAGCTGCCCAGCCTCAGTGGCAGGATGGAAAGGCTGAGAGGTGGATTGAGGCACCAGTTTGGGGGTTTCAACAGGCCCTTGCATAAAGTCACTAAATTCTTCATCATCAAGAAAAGCAGAATGGGAAACAGTTACAGCACAATGGGATGGTGTGGGATGATCTGCAAATGGAATGAACACACAAGGCAAAGTGATGAGGAACAGGGGTCACGGGTGGGAGTGTGGAAAAGTGGCAAACACTGGGAACACACAGCAAATGGGTGAGGAGGAGCAGCATGGAGCCTGTGCGCTGACACGTGAAGGGTGTCACTGGCACAAGGTAAAACTGAGCAGCCCCTTCCAACCATGCATCTTCTCTCCCAGGATTTTAGGATGTGAATGCTGGAACTTGGTTCTTAACACTGGCTGTGAAAGTATTCTGTCTGTTTTAAGCAGACAGGGTTAAAACAAATCCAGTGGTAATATTTCAAACTGGACACAATGGGGTCTGTCAGGGGGACAATCTCTCTCAAAGGAATGTTTTATCCACAGAAACTCAGCAATGAAGTACAAAAGGAATGTCTGCTCATGTAGACAATTTTCTGCTTGATCCCTTCCAGTGTTACCCATTTTAACAGAACTGGTGAAGGACAGGCAAATCTACAGACAGAGGGAAGTTGTCAGAGACCATCTGTAAGTACAAACTTACCAGGGAGTGAATCCACAGCAGAGACACAAACTTTATATAGGAAAAAGCTGGCCTAGATAAGCTTTGTTTCAGGCTAGACACTAAAAAAAGTACACTACAGACCATAAGAAGTCTTAAGTGGCAATTGTTGCCAGTGTAATTACTGAGAACAGAGGCTTGGTTTGACCATGCCCAACAACACATCAGCCAGCTGTGACACTCCACTCAAGTCTTTACATATGGTTTTGATCATTCTTAGCACTTAAATACCACTTCTCATCTTCAAAAGCACTCTGCAAAACATTAATTAATGCTTTGACTAGAAAAGAACAAACGCTTTATCAATTTCCTTGATGTTTCACATTTAGCACAGCACATGAGGCTTTCTGTTAAAGATTTCAAGTCTTTTAATAAAGGCTCATATCTATCAATATTTCACCCTCATACCCTGACCTAGCAAACAGTTGCCAGAATGACATTTTATTTTATAAAACTGTTAATCCACTCATTTTGTACCACCAAATAAAAATACTTGTTGGAATTAGTTCCCCCTGCTGAGGATTTCAAATGTTGGAGTTTTATTTTCAGTTGGAAAATGAGGAAAATTACAAACCTGGCTTTTTTTGATGTGTTGCTGGTGTTGGGTGCATTTTAGCATCTCTAGAAAAGCCATCTAAGTTCCCTTTAATGGCTTCCAAAGCATCATCTCTGCTTTTTTCACCTGTCTGAAAGAGCACAGAAAAAGTTTTGAGGAATTGACAGAACAGCTCAGTTTTCCTCCAATACCCAGACTTAGCAATGCCTGCTGCTGGCAAAGTGTGTAAAGGACTGACTCTTCCAGAGGCTTTTCAGGCCATAATCTGGCATCTCATGCAATTCCCACTGATCTGCTTGTTGAAAGAGACCCTCCCATTAAAAGCTATTAAAAAAAAACTGAAGAAACACCCCACTTATTATCAGGCCATACCTTGGGTTTCACACTGCTCAGAAGTCTCAGCTTTTGTTTCTGCTCTTCAAACTGCCGCCGTTTTCTTTCTTCCTCTAAGAACTTCTGCTGGTGCTCAAACCTCTTCCTGAAGGAGAATTATTTTTAAAAAATTTAAAAAAATATTAAATATATATATAAACAATTTTTATGAGACTTTTCACGTCAGGTTTGTGCTTTATTTCTCCATTTCTACTGTCTCAGATTCAGGTGGTTTGGTGCACACACTCCTGCTTCTCCTCAGACCTGGACAAGCACCACAAACTTCAGAGGCAATGGAATATCCAGCAATACCCCACAGCCCCAGTGCTGCTCCAGAGAAAGCACCCCTCCCCTGACAGAGCCATGCAGGGTCACTTACTGCTGCTCCTCTGCAAACTGCTTCTGCATGTCGGGGCCGTACTGGGGACCAGCGGGGCGCATTCCCAGGAAGGAGGCCTGTCCCATGTAGGGCATTCCAGCTGCTGGCATCGGCCCCAGGGCCATGCCACCCTGCAAGCAAGCACAGCACACAGCTCTGGGGCGTTGCTTTCAGCTCCGGTGTATTTTTTTCCCCTGCAGAAAAAGCCAAACCGCTGGCAGTGGCAGCAAAGTGGAGTCTGTGGAATGCGGAGCTGGGGAGTGCCCTCAGTAGGTGGCACTCTTCCTCTCCACAAGCACTCAGACTCGCAGCTTTTGGGAAAACTGGCAAAAATCAGCTCTGCAAATCCAACGTGCCCCAAGAGCAGGAAGGTTACAGCCGTCCTACACTGTTCAGTATGGGTTTTCTTGGGATTTCTGGGTCCTATTCTAAGGGATTTCATAATATTTTTATATTCCCTCCTACCAAGCACAGATGCTGGAAAACGTGGTCTAGGCATTTCCCAGACAATATATGATAACAGCCAAGAGGAACCTTGTCTGAATAAACTGCATCAGAAGCATTTGCTGAGAAATATATTCTGGGACATTTAGAGCAGCAAAGCTGCCTAATATAGAAGGAGGCAGAAAATAATTTACTTTTCTTACCATTCATTTTGCATTTGGTCTCAGAACACGTAGGAAGAGAACAAAAACTGTTTATTATTTTTAGACCAGCTCTCATAAAAACATCTTCCTACTATAAATTTTGCCAGAATAACATAATAAATTGCAGCTGGGGGAGGGAAAGGAGTGCAAGGACATGGCAAAACAATAAATTCCATTTGTGACACAGCACTTTGGTTAGAAAGTCATGCAAAAACATTAAATTTCAGCAAAGTGCAAATTTGTACATAAGCACATATGGTGCTAAATAGAAAAGAATAGATTAAAAGAGAGAGAACATAATATTATCTGCTCACATTTAATTCTTATTCCTCAATTAGCAACAGCAGCACTAAAGACAAAGTTACTTTAAGGAAAAAGAAAAATAATAGTGATAGGACAGAGGGAATGGCCTTAACCTGGAGGAGGGCAGGCTTAGACTGGATATTAGAGAGAAATTCTTCCCTGTGAGGGTGGTGGGGCCCTGGCACAGGGTGCCCAGAGAGGTTGTGGGCTCCCCATCCCTGGAAGTGCCCAAGGCCAGGTTGGATGGGGCTTGGAGCAGCCTGGGATGGTGGAAGGGGTCCCTGCCATGGCAGGGGTGGAACTGGATGAGCTTTAAGGTCCCTTTTCCCCAAACCAGTCTGGGGCCCTGCACTTCCAGCCCACATTTCTCTGGCACACACCTGCATGGCCATGGGTCCAGGAGGCATCTGAGAGCCATAATTCATTCCCATCATCCCTGGCATGTTGGTCTGCATGACAGGAACCATTGGAAACCCCTGCTGTTGCATAGGAATCATCCCTGCAATGAAACATTAAACAAGCCAAGTGCCCAGTTAATGTTAAAAGCTTTTTTTTTTTTTCCCTTCCCTAACCCTGCCTCCCCCATTTAACTGATCTTTTTTGTTTACTAAACAAGCGAAGGAAAGTAAAAAACTCTGAGTTGTGGTGGATGGTTTAAAAATAAAAATCATAAAATTTGCTACACTGCAGGCAACCACAGAATCTCCTTAGTTTAAACACTGGTCAGTCTACAGGGAAAAATATTACAGGGCTTTTCAGTAACTAAGCTGATGTATTATCCCACCATCCTAAAGATTCTCTGTGGGTTTCTTCCCATATGATTTTTGGAAGGGTCATTTCCAATTAAAAAGATTTAATTAACCAGGGTGACTGGTGCTGGTAATTCCCATTTCTCTTGAAACCAGCAGCTTCTGAAAATAAATCTTGGGAAATAAAGTCAACCTTTCACAAAGCAACTTCACACTCTGACCTGGCTGGATAATTTGCTGTAGGTTAATTAGCACACTTTAGGTTAATTAGCCCACTACATGTGTTAGAATGGTAACAATACTTGTCAGTAAAAGCTAAACGTGCACAAAATTGGACAAACCAGGCTGGAATGTGTTAATTCACTGAATAAAGCAAGTGGGTTATGTTTCAGTACCTTCCTGCCTCACATTTTGCTGTCTTGGGAGACAAACACTAACATGCACTTGTTACCAGCACACCATGAGATAATTATGCAAAAACACTCCAGGAGGCCATGACACAGGCAGGAATAATCCATGAATCAGTCCCTGGGATTTTAATCAAAACCTCTCCATTTCCCCATAAATTCTCTGCATATTTTCCCCTAATTAAACAAACAGCACTGCATCAGGAATGAGAACAAAGGCAATTTAAGGCTGAGGCTCTCCCATTGTATTAATACTTTCCACACAGGTTGTGACTCTTGTCCCAGGGTCTTGATGTGCTTTGTAAATATTTACCAGGTCTTGCAACACCCACACAGCATGGGTGTACACAGCTGGGAGATGAAGCAGAGAGAGGTGAAATACCACTCTCAAAATAAAACACCAGAATCCAAAAGGCCAATTCAGGTTAAAAAGGGAGATGTAGTTTTCCTGGACCTTTAATCCACATTCTGGTGATGCTGCTTCAACAACACACAGGAGGTTCTCCCACCAGAGGAGTGAGAGAGCTGAATTCAAGGGCAAAAAACAGCTATGGAGTTCAATTAATAATCCCACCTCTGAACATCACTGCAGACCTGGTTTAGGTCTAATTTGTCTAAACAAAATCAAGAACTTTGTGCTCAAAATGTGAAGCTGATGCGTACCTTGAGGGGGGCCCAACCCGCCTGCAACAGGAAACATGAAGCTGCAGGAGGAAAACAAGAGTACGTGAAATTCTGTCACTTTAGTGCAAATGGAAAATCCACCTTGACTTCCACATCAGCACCATCACCAGGAGCCTCCCACCTTCTGGTCAGCACTTGCAGCTGCTCCTGCAGGTCCCACAGAAGCCAACCCATCCAAGGGAACAAGGGAAAAGGTTCTCCCCCAGCGGGATCCCAAAGCAGCCCGGCAGTGCAGAGCCAGGAAACGCAGAGCTGATCCTCCCAGCAGCCCTGACACGGCTTTGACTCATCCACATCACCCACTAGAGCCTTTCAGCACCCACACAGCTTGGGAACGGGTCAGTGTGTTGTGTGGGCTAAGCATGGAATGAATAAACATCTCCTCTTGGAAGTATCTGACTCAGCAGGACCACCAGAGAACACTTCTCAGCTGCTTAGGAACAGCTTTTCTGAAGAAAAAGAAACTATCCACAAAACCCCATCGCTTTTTGCCCCCTTTAGAAACATCACAAAAGAATGGAGTTCCTATTTTCTCAGTTATCTAATTACAACAAAAATAGAACCTGGGAGAAAACATTCATTCACGTATCAAGGGTCAAGTGCACCCAGAGGAAGAACCATTAAAATTTCAACTAAAATCCTAATGGAAATTGCTAGCCCTCGCTCTCAAACAGCTGCCAAACAGTCAAAAAGGACCTAGTTTAAAATTCTCGTTTGCAAGCAACTTGCAGAAACCCACGTCAGCAGCAATTTCCCAAACAAGAACCTCACTCAGTGTCCCAGGCAGTTATTACATCAAAGTGCTGTGGAAGAGAAACACACTTAGAGATATTCAATGCTCAATTTCAAGCGTGGATGTAAAAGAAACTGACAAAGAGTACAAGAGAAAATGCCATCAGAAATGGCTGCAGGAAGTCCTGAAAGCCAACCTGGTTTATAAATATAAAAGAGCTGTGTAATATGAGCACTAAGATAAAATAGGGAATTTAAATTATGCATTTATCCAGGAGCAAATTGCACCTCTCCACTGTACAGGCAGAGGGTCACACGGTCACCAAGACAACCCATTTGCTCTTCACTTCATCCTCTACTCAGGATCTTCATCATCCTGAAGCTTCTTCTTCAGCCCTGAGCACTGTGTGCTGGTTTCTCCTTCCACAACTACCACACACCCGTGCTTCCCAATGGTCCAGTCTTGCCATCCTCCACCCCACCATCTGGGCTTCTCCCCCTGAAGAACTCTGCAGCCCCACACAGCTCAGCCCCAAACACGTGCAGGGCTTGGTTCTCACCACAGCCAAGGGCTGTTTAACTCAACTCAGGCATTTTAATCCACTCCTGGGCATACAGTATCAACACGAAAATAAACAGAATGATGAAACATTAAATGCAATTTCTGAAGATCTCCTAATCACGTAGAAGTGTTCTAAGCGTCACGCTTCCCTTCTTGTTGGGGAACCTGATCAACAAGAATTCCCCAAACCAACAAATGCAACGTAAACAGAACCAGCGTCGGGAGGTACCACTGCTTGTTGGGAGCAAGTAAAGGCCAAACTATTAAATATTTATCCCTTTCTACAGAGCTCCTGGTTTATTTATAAGTCTCTGCTGAAAAAAAAATAAAAAGAAACAATCAACCAAAACCCCCTCAGCTGATTAGAGGGCACTGGAAGAGGAGCTGGTCCAAAGCAAGCTCTGCCAGCACAACCCCGTACACGCTGCTCAGATCCACCAGGATTCACTCCAGGACTCAGTGTGCAACTGCCAGCACCAGCCATGCTGGCACGGCCACAAACCACTCCACCAATGGGAACTGATGAGCAAAGTGCTTTTTTGGAGATGCAGGATTGCCCAGAGCAATCAGGGAGAGCAGCTGGCTCTCGTGGCTGAGGGAGCCAGCGCAGGGACGGTCCCCGTGCGACGGCGCCCTGGGCACGCTGCACAAATACAATGAAGGGAAGGGAACAAAGTGATCGCCCTGCCACAGACCTCTTAAAGCAGTGCCAGAAATCTGTACACTCCTACTGCATCAGTATTTTAAATATGGAGCTTAAAAAAACCACCAAGAAGCCCCAAACCAACCAAGCAACAGCTTCAGCCAAAACACAGGAGCGTGGGGAGCAGCAACTCCTTTTCTGAATGGAGACTTCAGTGTAACAGCTCCAAACCACACACAGAACGCTTTGCCATCCACAAGTGGATTTTTAAACCCCTTGATTCCCAAACAGTATAACTCCATCAATGCAACAGACTGTCACAGTATTTTTGAATGGCAGAAATGCACGAAAATTGAAGCGAAATCAGGCAAAGAACCCACACAGAGCAGAACTTTTCCTCTACCTCCAGACTTTGTCCTCAAAGAAACCAAAATACTATCAATGGGCAACTTTGTAAATCCTTTTATTTTTCAGAACCTTTATTTCTGAAACTGACAACAATGACAACACTCCCAATAACACCGACAAAACCATGGGATTCGGATTTCCAAGACAACTCAATGAGCTTAATTGTCAAATGCAAAATTTCCTCAGCCTCCCTGGAAGTAGGACAAGAGATAAATAGCAGACAAGAACCTACATTGAAAAAAACACATTACTAGAGCCTTCAAAGGTGGTGAAATCCAGTTTTCCAACCTCTCCAGAAACACAGCAACATCTCTTTTAACACTGTTTTTTTTTTTTTTTTTGTTCTCCTGACAGGATTCCTCAGTCCTCCCTGTGGCCAAGGTGCCCTTTGTGAGAAGGAGGGGAAAAGGGAAGTCCCCAGGGAGGCTGGGTCCCGGGAGGACACAGACAGACAGACCTGCCCAGCGATGACAGAACATTTACTGTGGTGGCACTGGGCGGGGCTGGAAGAACCCCCAAATCCTTCCCACCCCAATATCTGAGATTGCAGCTGCAGAGCCTGACGGCAAGTGGGGCACAACTGCCCAAGCCTGGACACACCGGGGAAAATCAGCCGGGCCCCCAAAATGTGAATGAATCCCAGCAAAGCGCAGAGCTACCGTGGCTGCATTCCCAACAACGCGCCTGGGACCTCCCCTCCCCACCCAGACCCCACATCCTGCCTGGGCCCCTGATGTTCCATCCAGGATCACAGGTACTACACCTGAGACACACCCGTCCTACCCAAGACCCCACAAAGCTCGCTTGACAACCCACGAACCCCACCTGGGACCCCCACCCACGATCCCACGAACCTCACCTGAGACCCCTTGTGCCACACCTGCGACCCCCACATCCCACCCAGGATGTGCCACAGCTGAGACCCTACAGACCCTGCCTGGGACCCCCAGAGGCCAGCCAGAAACCCCGCACAGCCCACCTGGGCCCTGACACCCCACCTGCACTCCGAGCCGCCACCCCAGCCCTCCCATCGCCCCCATCTCCGCCCCTCCCCGCGTCCCCTTCATTCCCCATCATCGCCCTCCCACCCTTTGTCCGCTCCCTCTCCGCAGCCCCTCGCCCGCCGCTCCCGGTCACCACCGACCTGGCGGCCCCGGCCGCTCCGCCGCCCGCCCCGCCGGCGCCCCCCGCGCCGGGCCCGGGCCGCAGCGCCATCTTCGCGCTCGGCCCCGCCGTCTGTCAGCGGAGCGGCGGCGGCGGCTTCCGGGGCCGGCCCGGGCAGGCACCGCCCCCGGCCCCGCCGCTCCCCGCTTGTACGGCTCCTCGGTTCCTCCGGTCCACAGCCCCAGAGAATCACAGCCCCTCGCTTCCTCCGTTTCACGGCCCCACAGAGCCACGGCCCCTCGCTTCCTCCGTTCCACAGCCCCAGAGAATAACAGCCCCTCGGTTCCGCCGTTCCACAGAGCCACAGCACCTCGGTTTTTCCGTTCCACAGGCCCCAAGAGCCACGGCCTCTGGGTTCCTCCGTTCCACAGAGCCACGGCCTCTCGGTTCTTCCGTTCCACAGAGCCACGGCCCTTCGGTTCCTCCGTTCCACAGAGCCACGGCCCTTCGGTTCCTCCGTTCCACAGAGCCACGGCCTCTCGGTTCTTCCGTTCCACAGCCCCACAGATGCACAGCCCCACATCTCCTCCGTGTCTCAGCCCCACAGAACCGTAGCCCTACATCCCCTTGGTTCCACAAGCCCCACATCCCCTCGATTCCACAAGCCCCACATCCCCTCGATTCCACAGCCCCACAGCCCCACATCCCTCTCGGTTCCTCAGCCCCACATGCCCCCGGCCTGGATGGGGATGAATGGCCCCGGCTCCCCCTGGGGAACGCCGGTTTCCAGCATCCAAAGCACCGCTTTTCCGTAAAAAGGAAAATAAAGTGTCTCCTTTGCGCCCGACCTCCCGCAGGGGTCACCTGGGGACATGCGACAAGAGCCTGAAAGTGACAGGGGACAATGGATTTACAGCGCCAGAGGGAGGGGTAGATGGATATTGGGAATAAATTCCTCCCTGGGAGGGTGCTGAGGCCCTGCCACAGGGTGCTGTGCCTGCCCCATCCAAACCAGATTAAACCAAGACAATCCTGTCTAGAAATTCTTCCTGCAAGGATTGCAGTTGCAAAGAAGCCATTCCTGCCTGACTGGAATTCTGATGACAAAAGCAGGGTGGGCTGAGACCACGCTGGGCAGATGAAGAGAGGGAAAATGCACAAAGTTGGGCCTTTTTTGCCTGGAGACTTGTTCCACAGAGGCTGCACAAACACACAGGTCTCTGAATTAGCATTTTATGACCTTGTTTATTCTAGTTTCAGGCTCAGTTATAAAAGCGTACAAAATTAATGGCACATATTAGTTTATTTCAAAATAATTTTATAGAAGAAAAACAGTAGGAAGAGCAGGGCTTTACTTTCACATAGAAGTGGGTTTGTTTTGGCTTTTTTCAAGTGTCCAGGGAAGTCTCTGACAGCTGCATTTATCAAACCTGAGGGGAAACATTGTGGTTTTTGTCTCTGAATCTCCTGGAAGTGTCTTAAAAACGTATTAGGGGTGATCTGAACACAGACAATATTTTCAAGGAGCAGTACAAAACTGTGTGAAAGTAACACAAGCTGCTGCTGGTTTTGAACTACTCTCAGAAATACACAGCATTCACTGCACGAGCACATGCTCCAGCTTCTATAAGAAGCATCCAGGAATTCTCTTCTGGCATTGCAGTAGAGACTTTCTAGCATGTAGATCTCCACCCTCACCCCAAAGGAAACATGAGAAATGTTCTTCTCCCTTCACCATCACTGCCATCTTCAGTCTTCTGTTCCAGCACAGACAGAGGTGTCAGCCCCAGCTCACCAGCTTGAATTCAGCTTTCTGCAACAGTCTGTAATTTACTGCCGTTTTTGTCTTCTTTACCTTTCTTCTTTCCCTTAGTATTTTCCTTTGTAGTTTTCCTACAAAAAAAAAACCACACTGGAGATCAAGACACCTGAGCATAACCAGTGGTTTAAATTCAGGCTGCTGTCACCTGACACATGGCACCACACAAGGAACATGTTGTCATTAATCCAAGCTCCAATAGACAGATTCTAACACTAAAACTTCATCACTAAAATCATTATGACTAGGTGGTTCACCCAAACAAGTAATCTATTTCTTTGCTTAAATTTTCTGGGCTGTTTCTTGATAAAACGCAACTCTTACCTCCTCTTCAGCAAAAGCTACTTACATTTTTCTTTTGTCTTTTTTCAAGAAGCACTTTGGGGTGGTACAAATGGATTCTCTTGTCAAAGGTTTCTTAATGAATTTCTTCTTTTGTTTGCTGAGAATATTTAGTGAAGAACGATGAAATTACTAGGGTTTCTAATTCTAGAAACTTCTATAAGTCATTAAAAAGCATGGATTAAAAGACTGGTTAACTGCTCAAATGAACATACCTCTGCAGTTTGGGCAAATGCTTTATGTATTCTGGCACAGGACAGCCAGCTCGCTGGATAACGTTGGCAATACTGGAAAGAACAGGAGGGAAGAAATCAACTCCAGTGCTTGGACAAGTGATAATTTTTTTTTTTTTTTGTGCAAAACAGCAAAGCAAACTGGCTGGTTTGTTGTTGGTCTTTTGTTTTGTGGTGATTTCTTTTTAAAGCAATAAATGAAGACATTATTAATCCAGAGAGATTACCTCCGTAATAAAGGTTTATCATCTTCTGTAAAGAAAGTGACTGCCTTTCCTCTGTGTCCTGCTCTCCCAGTACGACCTGCCAAGCACACATTTTGCAGAGCAGAGATTTTACTTCAGACAGCTCCCCTTATTCCTCCTCACAGCCCCAGCCTCCTGATGCACGTTCACAGATCAGGCAGCCAACCCCCAAACACTGCTCCCAGTGAATGAAAGCACAGCTACATCTGAAACATCTAAATAAGGTTCACAGGGTGCTGACAAAAACAAGAGCATCTACATTAAAGACCTCAGAAATGGGGAAAAGGAGGTGATTTGTGAGCCATGCCTCACCTATCCTGTGGATGTATTCCACTGCACTGGTTGGTAAATCATAATTGATGACCATGTTCACACCTTTGAAGTCCATCCCTCGAGCCAGTAATGCAGAGCAGATGAGCACCCAGATCTTCCCAGCTCTGAAACTCTGCACTACTTTGTCTCTCTAGGAAAAAAAAAAAACAGAAAAGATATTTGGAAGCAGTCCCAATAGCAATTGAGAAAGGAGGTGAACTTGTTTCCTTAAAGTTGTCACAATATTAAAGAATAAAACTAAACCTCTGAACAAAAACCTGCAGGAATTTGCTGCCACGGTTACCTGGAATTACATTCCAACATTCTTGCTTTTACCTTTATTTCTAAATTATTTCTTGAAAAGAAATAAAATCCTCCTACCTGTTGCTGAGTCTTGTCTGCATGGATGACATCCACATTGATCCCTTCATAAATAAGCTCATGGAAAAGCTCTTTAGCCCTCTCAATAGACTGTACAAAAACAAGGACTGGAGGAGAAAAACCCTGCAAAAGAGTAAGTTTATCTCAGGTTCCAAAGTCCCTTTCCTTGCAGAAACTGAGACAGAGCAGATTTGGGCAATGGTTTAACATGTGTCACAGAGAAGTGTTTGACCTGGGCAATTGGGAGTCTCTGACAGACCATAGCTCAGTTGAACAGGAGGAGGAACATGCTCAGTTTCTCCAAAATACCTTTTTAACAAGCTCTCTCATTGCTGTTAGTTTTCCTGTCTCGGATCCAACAAACAGCAGCTCTTGTTCTACTGTCTCTGCTGCAGAGTTTCTGAAACCAGAAATCCAACAGAAGCACTTCAGTATTCTTATATACATTAACAAAAACTTATACATTAATAAATATATGTAGCATATATAACCCCCATAAAAATATAACTTGGTGGATGAGAAATACTGCACAACAAAAGCAGTGCATGCTCCTAAGATTGATGTTTATTTGATGATGAAGTAATTGGCAAAGGAAAAGAACGCTTAATTCAACACAAGAGAAATATCCACATGCCTACACAATTTTCTCTGGAGACAAACAACCTGCAGTGCTGACTAAGAGCAGCCACAAAACCAAGCAGGCTGATGATGCAGAGAAAACAATTTCCCATGAATTTTTTTTTTAAAAAAGAAGCAGGCAACACCTACCTTGCCCCAACAGACACCAGCACAAGGTTGTCCAGGTTGAGCTTACACCACTCCTCCACGTCGTGGGCAAAGGTAGCGCTGAACAGGGCCCTCCTGGCCAGGTGGGAGGTGCATGCCAGGAAGATTGTGCCCAGCTGGTCCCTGAATCCTGACTTGCCATCCTCAAACAGCTTGTCTGACTCATCCACCACCAGCCACTCCACGCTAGGAACAAGAGGTTTGGTTTTCAGGAGAGCCACTCCTGAGTGGCAAAGCACATTGCAAACAGACTCTCCTACCTGCTCAAGTCTATTGCTGGAGGATCTTCTTTCAGCAGATAAATGAGTCTGTTTGGAGTAGTAACCAGTATATCTATTAAAAGAAAAGAAGCAAAATGTCAAAAAAAAGACACAAAATAAACCAAACTAACAGAACACCAGATCCAACCCAATCTGCCAGAGGTTCAGTTTAGCAGCGTCCATGTCCTCTCACTTCCCATTTCTTCCCTGCCACTTTTTAACCACCTCTTTAAAACCACACAGCCCAAAGACAAAGGTCAGTGACACTTAAATTTTTTAGAAGCAGTTCAGTCATTAGAACAGTTACCAAATTTCTTGGAAGACTTGGGGCCAAACTTCTTGGCTGCCTCGGCCGCCTTGTGGATCATGTGGATTCTGAAGCCTGTGCCCTCTGCCAGCTTCACCAGCTCCCGGTGGGTCTGAAAAGGCAGCAGAGATTGGGTTCCCAAACTGAGCTAATGAGCCTTTCTAACCAAAAATCTGCTGGCCATAGTGGAGTCATGGAATGCTTTGGGTTGGAGGGACATTAAAGCCCATCCAGTTCCCCCTGCCATGGCAGGGACACCTCCCACTGTCCCAGGGTGCTCCAAGCCCTGTCCAGCCTGGCCTGGGACACTGCCAGGGATCCAGGGGCAGCCACAGCTGCTCTGAGCAACCTAATCCTGAAGGTAGAGCTTCAAACCTCACCCTGCTTTCAGAGTTAAGAGAAATCTCTCTGGTTTCCTTAGCATAA